GTTGTTCATCATATTTGAATAATCTACAGGTCGGATGTGTACCTTATATAAGTACCAGAACATGGTTGATGTTCTTTGATGGGTCTACCTCTGGAAACAAATCAGGGGCAGGGGTCTTTTTGCAAGGACCTGATGGTCAAAAGATCAATTTGCAACTACGATTGGAAGCCATGACCCATAATTCGGCAGAATATGAAGCTTTAATTTTGGGTTTGGAGGCTTTAATAGCCAGGAAGGTCCAGTCTGTAATCATAAGGGGGGATTCTCAATTAGTAGTCAACCAGGTAAACAATCAATATGTTTGCAATTACCCTCATCTTCGCAGATACAGGGACATTGTGGGTCGGTTACTGACAAAAATCTCAGAAGTAATAATTGAGTTCATTCCGAGAAAAGAAAACCAACGTGCTGATGAGTTGGCTCAAAGGGCCTGTAAAGGAATTCTGGAGGATATTTGGTCGGAGGTCAAGTCGGGCATAGAAGAAAGGACAGACTCAATATGTGACCGAATGGTCGGGCAGGAGATTGTCGGACAGGAGCCCGACTGCGAAGTTATGGTCGAGCAGGAGACTGTCGGACAGGAACCCGACTGCGAAGTTATGGTCGAGCAGGAGACTGTCGGACAGGAACCCGACTGCGAAGTTGTCGGGCAAGAGACTGTCGGTCAGGAGCCCGACTGTGAAGTTATTGTGGGACAGGAACCCGACTGCTCATTGGCAAATTGGTCTGGACCAAAGGTCTGATTGAATGGTCGGCTGGGACTGGCGTCGGTTGTGTGGTCGGTGTCACCAAGGTCGGTTCTGGTGAATGAAATAAGTAAAATCAAAGTTACGAGATAGTGAATTGGTTCACGGTGTTAAGAAAAATTACCAATTCGGGGTCGGGTCCTTGCTGACGTCCTAGTAGTTCCAAGGTCTGCTGGTGCTTGCTGATCGGCCCCAGAGGTCGGGGGTGTTTGCAGCTGGGAAGCTTTCCTTTTTCGCACTGGAGCACTAGATCCGATTCCCGGGGCGGCTGTTTGTTGCTGAGTGCTAGTATGTCTGGCCGCTCCTAGAACCAATCCTTGGGGGGGAAGAAGTATGTTCAGTAACCGACCCTCATCAGGGGAAATCAGGGGCCATACAACCGACCACCATTCATTGAATGTATCTACAGTCTCAGGGTTGGAGCGGAAAGGAATATAAGAATTGGAAACTATATACGTGGTGAGCTGGGAGATATAAGAGGGGATTGAATTAGGTAGGACTCGTCGGTCAGGACTTTGAAAAATTATATGCGGACAAGCGACGGGTCCAGGGATACCTTGGCAGCAGCCGAACTGGCGCGCCATGAATTGAGGTTCATAATTAAAAGTGTAAAAGGTTTTCTGCCCCTTCTTATCAAGTTTTTTGCTACTAAAAAGAGACCTGGGTTTGAGGGCAACATCCCAGGCAAAAGAATAGGTGGGATGAGGACAAGGCTCAGGAGTCGGAAGAGGATTTGGTGCCGGAAAGGGCCAGAAATGGTCGGGAGCATAACCCGCATACTTTTTATACATAGAAAATCGAGAGTTACTGCGGGTATCTGTTAAAATTGCGGTTATTATTGGATCGGAAGATTGGAGTTTATTGCGTCCCGAGCAGAGTCGGTTGAGGGCTAATCCCAAATGTTTTTCAGATGTTGGCATAGTGGGTGGAGATCCTAAGTTAAACGCGTTGGGGAAGTAAAGACGGAACCAAAGTTCTAAAAACCAAAAAGGACCCGACGCGGCAGTGTCTAATTTTCTACTATCATTATCTGTTAGACGAAGGCTAACTCTAGTAAGTCCTTCGAACAGATTGGCTAAAAACAGGGTGCCAAGGGAAAAGAACCGACCTGACGCGATATGAATGGCCAGGTCGAGATGAGAAGGAAGAACACATTTGGAAGGGGAAACAATAACATACCTACAAAGCCAGAAAAGGATAAAGGCAGTATGCTCCCGGTCGGTTACAGGGGTCCCTGGAGCCCCTTGTTGGTCGGTTGCGAACTTTGTCCAACCCCATTCCTTCACACCTTGTAAAGACCACCCTGGATGGTCTTCTGATGGCTCCTGCCCATCTAGGGCTCCCATCACAGGGTCTTCACCCACGACTGGGAGATGCGCGATCATTGCCACATCCATAAGAGTTGGACCAAAGGGGCCCGATGGTAAGAGGAAAGTCCCATTTTCCGCATTCCAGAAGGCAGACATGGCCAACAGCACCTTCTCATGCAGGTTGATAGGCATGGTGGACAATAGTATGGCCTGGTCGATTTTTTGAGATCGCCATTGGGTTTGGAAGTGTTCTGCTACCCGTCGATACCAAGCGCGGTAAGGATCTTTTGGGTCTGTGAGATGGGTTTTGATGCTGTCTCGAATGCGAACTGCTTGGTAGTTAGGGTTGTTGATAGCCAAGGAATTTCGGGATTCCAAAACTTCCCTCATCTGGTTTGAGTCTTCAGGAGTCGTGCAGTATGGGCGGATCGTCGGAGTTAGTACTTTCGAGGCGGAAAACGGGCCCTCTGGGAGGTTTCCGTCGAAAGGAAGGGCAGGAATGCATTGATTCGCCATGATTAGAGTGTTTTGGGATTGTGATTCAAAAATGCTCGTATTGCGGGGAAGGAAGTTAATCAGGAGTGTTGCAGTAACTGGTGCAGTTGCTAAGGGAATTTTTCAAGAGGGTAGTGATTTATGAACTTCCAAACATTGATTGTTAGATGGCGTTTGAAAGTCCCTTGGCGGCGGGCAAGTTGTTATGTACGAAATTTAGAATTAGGTTAAAAGCCCAAGGTAAAAAGAAGAATGGGCCTGGCAATAGAGTTGATTGAACTGACTGAAGGACACCATGAGGAAATCAAGGAAAATGGGTTTATTTCTAAGGAAAGTCATCAGGACGGAAGGACCTCAGGTCGGTAGGTCCTCAAGACGGAAAGACCTCAAGTCGGAGGGTTTTCATGTCGGAAGGTCCTCAAGACGGAAAGACCTCAAGTCGGAAGGTCTTCAGGTCGGGAGGTCCTCAAGACGGAAAGTCATCAGTACGGAAGGACCTCAGGTCGGTAGGTCCTCAAGACGGAAAGACCTCAAGTCGGAAGGTTTTCAGGTCGGAAGGTCCTCAAGACGGAAAGACCTCAAGTCGGAAGGTCTTCAGGTCGGGAGGTCCTCAAGACGGAAAGTCATCAGGACGGAAGGACCTCAGGTCGGTAGGTCCTCAAGACGGAAAGACCTCAAGTCGGAAGGTTTTCAGGTCGGAAGGTCCTCAAGACGGAAAGACCTCAAGTCGGAAGGTTTTCAGGTCGGGAGGTCCTCAAGACGGAAAGACCTCAAGTCGGAAGGTTTTCAGGTCGGGAGGTCATCAAGACGGAAAGTCATCAGGATGGGAAGTCCGCAGGTCGGGAGGCCTTCAGGACGGGAAGTCCGCAAGTCGGGGGGCCCTCAGGTCGGGAAGTTATCAGGACGGAATTCTGCGGCAGAACCAACAAATCGGGTGGTTTGTTGGTCGGGATGTCTGTAGCTAAACCAAACAAGTCAGATGGTTTGCAAGTCGGGAGGATTGGCAATCGGACCCATACTGTTGTAGTTTGGCAGTCGGGCCTAAAAGGCGGAAGGTCTGTGGCCAGCTCAAAGAGTGGAATATAGGGATAATTTTGGTCTGCTGAGGACACGTGTCAGCAGGAGAAGGATTGGAAGACGGTTGGAAAGGAGACGTTGTAACCGTTCGGGTGACAGTTTTCAGTACGGTTTCCCAGAGAATATTTAAAGGTTTGGATAATCATTTGGCAGGGTATCTTCAATCAACTTCAACAAAGCAAAGTCAGATTTGGGGATCACCACTTTAAATTTCAGTCTTTTATTTTCCAGTTTATTTTCTGTACCATACAGTGTTTAGAGATTCCTAATCTCAGGCACTAATTAATCAAGTTTAAGGATATTTATAAAATTTTATATAGGGTGTGTTTGTTTGGGAGTTTGGATTTTGGATTGGAATTTGAATAGTAAAAATTTTGAATTTGAATAGTTGTATGATGTGATATAAATAGGGTTTGATGTGATGTTTTGAATGTAAAATTGATTTTTAGTATAATATAAAAAATGAAAAATAGGTGTTTGATTTGATGTTTTTGGGAGGAAAAAATTGGATGAATAGTGGAAATCCTCCAAAATCCTTCAAACAAACATACCCATAATATAAATATATAATATTTTGTATTAATATTTATATCATTGTGAACTAAAAGAATTTGACGATTTTTTTAAAATAAAATGATGATATAGATAGAGATAGAGTTTCTCCATATTGGATAAACCTACCAATATAGGTGGTCTTAATTGCAATTGTCGAGTAGATATTCTTATTTGAAGTTGATTAAATGAGAACATGTGTATTTTATTGGCTGCCAATGAAGTTTGATTTGACAAATCATATTAGGTGAATCATGTATAACACATAAGATCTGAAAACATTGATAATTAGAACTCATGACCTCATGATTACGAATTGACTCCTACACCATCATTTTTTTTTTTATAACGTGGAATCCGCAATCGCTATCCAAATACGTATTTTGGGTAAAATCTTCAGTCGAATTAACAACTTGCAAACTAGATTTAATAAAGCAAATAGCGAACCATGTGGGACAGACAAAACATAAAGTTTGAATCTATGATTTAACGGTCACAAATCATCCCTATTGATTTGATGGTGCCTTTTTATTCTCCTTGTCACCGTAGCAATAGGAGGAAAAAAACATGATAAAATAATGATCTTAATATTTTTTGGACCGGAAAAATCTCTAGTGGTTATCACTCGTACCGATTCACATTCTTTCTACTATCTTTTCTTATACATAATTTGCCTAATGCATTTACAATTCAATGTTTCTAAACAGAATAACACCTTTGTATCTGTCTAAAATTATTTCTTATCAAATTCAAAATTAAAAACTGATTACTGTTAATCAATATCTTTAGTCATTCATTAACTTAATTCTCAAACAAAATATAAATTTAACTATCAAACATTCATTCAATTTTACCAAACTTCAAGTTTACAAATTAATAAAATCACACAGCACAGAACAGAACAGAACAGCACTTCTCTCGCTCACTAAATGGGAAACATTTTCCAAAGATTATACAAGCAAGCCCTTCCAGATTCAGACCCTTGCAGGGAATGGATATAGTAGTAAAAGAAACAAGGTGAAAAATAAAATAACAAAAAATAAAAAATATATCAGCAGCAGCAAAAAGCATCAACAAGACATACATACCTTCCATCCATGGCGTGTTACTTCTGATTTACAGTGCCCTTCTTCTTTAGTAAGCTTCCGAACTTACGAAACAATGGCTTCTTCTTCTTCAGACTGTCCGTCTTCGATGGCGGGCTTCCTCCGCCATTGTCAACATTCTCTGTCGATGATTGTCCATTCGCCAGATCTCCCTCTGCTTTTGATTCAACTTCATCATCAAATGACTCCTCCTGCTCTGTCTCGCCTTCTGGAGAGAAATCCTTCTCTTCGATCTTGCAGCTTTCCCACATTTTCAAATCAGAATCGAAGTTGTCCTTGCTTTTCCCTTCATCATTTTCTTTCCCATCAGATGATTTCACGCCAGAAGCTCCCTCGACAGCTTGATCATTGAAAGAACTTTCGACTCCAGTTGCAGGTAGAGATGATTCTTCTCTTGCTTCATATTGACCTGCGCCATTTTGTTCTGAAAACTCCACCACTTTCGGAAGCATGTCGTAATCTTTTTCGCTATCCGTCAGCTCGCCATTTTCCTTCTTCGCCGAAACTTCACCCAGCATCATCATCTTCGATAGTTCCTCAACTTTGTTGAGAGCAGATTCCTCTCTCTTCTTCATGTCCTCATTCTCCTGAAGAATCTTTTGCATTCCTTCTTCGTGCTCCATCAAATTCTCTTTCAATCTCATGTTTTCTGCCTTCGCCTCGCCAAGGACTTCTTTTAGGTAAACCACTTCAGATTCTGTATCATTGCACGACTTCTTCCAACGCTCCTCGCTCTCCCTTATTGCACAAACTTCTTCCTCTGCCTTTTGAAGTAAATTAAACAGCCTGTTAATCTCATTTTCCATGGAAGTATTCTCATCTGCGCCTTTTTTCAGAGAATCTACTAAATGAATCTCCTTCTGCTCCCACTCGGCCTTTAACCTTTCATGTTCATGCTTTGACTGCTCAAAAGAGTTAGTTAGAGTGTTAATCTCATGTTTTGCATCATCGAGCATGCTTTCGTACTTTTCATTTGTTGCTTTTAGTACCAGCTTCAGGTCCTCTATTTGTGTTTCATAGTTTTCTTGCTCAACTTGACAAGACATAAGCTTTTCCTTGGCATCTCTCGCTTCTGAAGAAATTTCATGTAAGGCCGATGCCAGACTTTCTAATGCCTTTTTGCTTTTCTCTTCTTCATCTCTAGATGTTTCCAGCTCGTTAATAAGCTTGTTTTTCTCTTCCAACAGTGCTTGGACACTGGCAGCTGCAAGTTGCTCGTTGTTCAAAGACTGAGCTTTCTCTTCCTTTACAGCTTCGAGCTCAGACCTAAGAATCTCAACCTTCTTAGCCATTTCAGAAGCAGCTTCTTTGGCCACTTGAAGATGTTGCTCTGATTCCTCGAGATCCACTTTCTGCCTTCGAACTGAAATTTCCAGCAAGGCCACTTTTTCTTTAAGGGTTGCAATCTCAGATTTGGCATCATGCAGGGAATCATTACTTCCTTCGAGCTGCTTCATGACAGATTCGAGAGATTCTGAAGCAGATCTCTCCAATCTCTTTGCTTGCTCAGCATGAGATGTAAGTTCCTCAACCCTTCCGTGCAACTCATCCACTAAATTACGCGCATAAGATTCGGCCATTTTTGTGGCCTCCAGATCAACATTGAGTTGCTCTAAGGCAGCCTCTTTTTCTGCCAATTTCTCCTCCAGAAATTTTGCATTTTCAACTTCTAGTCTCAGAGAATCTATCTCCATTTTCAACTCTGTCACATGCTTATTACTTTCGTTGGTCTCCATTTCAATTTGAGAATCAAGCACAGATTTCAAATGCACCAACTCAGCAGAAAGAGTTTCGACCCTTTCAGCATTAGCCTCGGCTATCTTGGCTGCATCGTCAGCATGACTCAGTGCTTGGTTTTTGGCATCACATGTCATGGCCAGCTCTTGCTTCACCCTCTGAAGCTCCTGGGTAGTAGACAGAAGGGCAGCCACGTCCAAAGCATGCTGGTTTCTCACAGTTTCGAGCTCTTTTTGCCATTCCTCTTCCTTCTTATGAGCTGCTTCAATGCCTGCTTGCTCCATCTCAACTGCGCGAAACTTTTCAATCTCAGAATTCTCTTCAGCTCGCTTTTGAGCCATCAATGCCTCCCCGAGCTTTGCACTTGCTTCCTCAGCCGATCTCCGGGACTCTTTCAGTTCATCAAGAACTTTTTCCTTTTCTTTCTCGGCCAAAAGCAATTTCTCCTTGGCCTTCTTCAGGTCTTCTTGAGCTAGAGTCAGGTCTGCTTGAAGTTCTGAAGGCTTCAGGATGCGAGTAGTAGTCTTTTTCTGGGACAGAAGAAAATAACATGTCAAGAAAAATGCAGATCAACACAACTACAACTTCTGTAGAACAAAGATCTATAACCCAACGTATGCTAAAATCAGAGTTGTGCATGAGTGGAGAGTACCTCCTCCTTAATTTAATCTAATAATCCCAGCATGAAACAAATTTCCCACACTTAGCCAGAGATATATGTTACACGCTACTATTGATGCCATTAATTAAAACTTACATCCGGTGGGGTGTTGCTCAGTTTAGGAGACCTCCGGTCTACTGTAGGCTTGGATGGGACAGATCTCGGGGATCGATCAACGGAAAGGCGAGCATGCTGCAGGGGAGAAACTGAATCGGTCTCAGATTTAGCTGCGCCTCGGGCAGACTTGCTGACCCGAGGAGGAGCGGCCGGTGAAACTTTGGCATTTGGAGTTTCAGGTAGAGCAGATCTATGAAAAAAAAACATAAAATCGATATCGTTAGATCAAGAAACCAGAGGTAGTTCCATTCGTATAGTATTCTAAACAAGTAGAACGACCGCACCGCGAGATCCATAAACACAAATACCGAATTCAAAGCTTAAAATAATATTTAATCACAAGTTTGTAGAGTATTTGCCCAGAATTTTAGAGGAAGGGATCAAGAAACAGCATTCTGAAATATGGATCCCCCTCGACACCATTCAATCATTCAACCAAAATCAACAAGCAGCAATTAGCCGCAAACAAAGGAATGAAAAAGAAAGACAAATCAAAATGCATAAACCACTACTCCATTCCATAGTAAGTTCACAACAAGCAACATGAACGAACGTCCAATCGCGAACTGAAATAGCGTGATCCAGTTTCAGGAAGTGAGATCTAGCAAGAACCATTAAGCATATGAAGATTCCAAATCGGATCGAGTTGCACAAAATCAAACTACTTACTTGGACTTGGTAGACATGATTGGAACGGTGACAAACTAATATCTTTCTACTCTGCACCAAAGATAGAGCAAAATATCAATGCAGCTACACTAAATCCCCGACGACATTGACCAGTTTTTCTGCGAATTACGGCCGGAGATTCACAGAGAAATCATTTGGGTTGGCGCGTGCGATCCTGTCCAGGGTGACCACCACCACACCGAAGCCTGTATGTCTGTTCTACTGTGATCTATGTCTAAGACATTTCTCAACCTCTGCTCCAACTGGGCCTTTTTGTATGCGTGAATTTACGAGAGTACCCTTGGCGTGGGGTTCCTGTAAAAGCTGAAAAGGGAGGTCTCTTCGTAGTGAAACTTTGTCACGGACGACGACATAGAAAAAGGAAAAGGAACAAGTGAAGACGACCGACCAGCGTTGGTGTGTGTGACCTCTTTCAACGCATAAAACCGTGGTTAAAAAAAAATAAAATAAATAAATAATATTAATTGGATTAATATTATATATATATATAAATCATAAAGAATAATAATTTATTTTTGATTATACACAATTTTTTAGGCTGCAGTTATTTGTACTGAGAGATATTAATAGGTGGTTGAGCTAAGACACCATACATAATCTTATTACAAGTAATATACTATATATATTGAAATAATATAAATGTGAACTTACAAATAATATAAATTCAATATGTAAATAAGAATATGTGAACTTACAATACATAAATTCAATTTGTACATAAGAATATTCTGGTGACGTAGAGGTTGATCTTTTTTTTTTTTTTTTTTTTTGCGTTGTACAAATGTCATTTTATTATTGTTAATAAAACACTAATAATAGAAGTACTTATTGTTATTTTATTTGATTTTTACTGTGGCTTGGAGTTTAAGAAATAATAGTATTTTAATTACAGTGATAGGTAAAAGAAGTGTAATGATATTTTTGCTTGTATAAAAATAATGATGTGATGTAAAGTAAAGGTATTTATGAAAAAAAAAATATATTTAATGAAATGGTTACTTTGTAATTAGACTTCCCAAAATAGAAATATGTATACTTTGTATTTGGGAAGGAGGGAGTATTCTCATTTAATTTGTCCACTATTTACGTCAAGCATAATTTGTTATTTTTTTTAGAAATATAATTATATATTTTAATCACATTTTAAAATTTATAATTTATAATTTATATATTTTAATTAAACTATTTAATCATTTTCATCTTAACTTGTAATTATTTTTATATTTTTTACTAATATATTTTTAAATTATTTACTAATTATTGTATACCTAAAACTTGTCTATACTAAATGAGACAATATAACTAAGACGGATAAAGTAATTAATATTAAAAAATCAATATACAAAAAGTAAATAATGACGAAAATAATATATTCTTCCACAACATATCATATGGTATACTCCCTTCGTTCAAAAAGTATAGTCTTATTGTCTTGGACATGAAATTCAAGGAATGTTAATATTACATTGGTAATTGGTAAAAGTAAAGATAAATGACTTTTTTGCTTTGTGAGTATATAGTGTAAAAAGCAGTGACAATTGTGTAATAATAATGAAAAAAGTAGGGATAATTTTATGGTGATATAGTTATTTATGAAAATGATACTATTGTTTTGGGATGGACAAAAATGATAAACAAAATTATTGTATTGAGACGGATGGAGTATTCCATGTCAAATGAAGACATGTTATATTTGGTATCTTCTAAAATATTAAAACCTAAATAATCATTAATCATGGGAGAACGAGGTTGCTGAATTAAATAGTATTCCCTCCGTTCCAAATACTATGCAACATTTGTGTTTTGTACTAGATTTTAGGTGGAGAGTATTAAGTATGATAATTTGAGATAATTTGGATATTAAGTGATGTGATTGAAGAGATATGATTATTTATTGTTTTATTTGAATGATGTGATGGGATAAAGTGAAGTATATATTAATATATGTATGTAAATATTATTAATTATTTTTAAATTTGAAAATATTGTAGTAAGTTTGAGACAAATAAAAAAAAAATATTATAGGGTGTTTGAAATGGACGAAGTAGTACATTATATCATCTTGATGACTGAAAGTAATCAAAATTCATTACTCTAATTTATAATATACCAAAAATAAGAATTTGTTTGGGACTAGCATTTTGAATGTGGTTTTTAAATAGTAAATTATTAATTTGAATAATTATTTATTTGATTTGAAATAAATATATATTATTGATGTTTTAAATATAAAATTAAGTTTTATTATCATATAAAAAATAATTATTTAGTTTCATATTTAAAAAATATTTAAAGAAATAATAGAAATCCCAGCGAACAAACAAACCTGTATTTGAATGAGGTTTGGATTTAATATTTAATAAAATATAAATATAGGGTTTGTATTGTTTAGTAATTTTTTTAAAAAAAATATATAAATATTAAGAATTATATTGTGTCGTAGACAAAAATATTCTTATTAGTATTGTGTAATATAAAAATGATAATATTTATGTAATATATTGTAAATTCGAATGATATTTAATATGTTAGGTTGATAGTACCGTTACTAAATTAGAAAATATTACTCTTGTTTTGAAACAAACGAAAATAGAAAATAAAATATTTTTTATGGAACAGAGGAAATATAAAAAAAACTTCAAATACCTAAATAAACAAACTCTAAATTTTAAGAAAGACTTCCCGTCTCGATAATAGTATTATATCTATTGTAGACGATAATCTAGTAATAATATAATTAATAAATAGTAATTAAAAATATATTATAAAAAATAATTATAATAATATAATATAAATAATTATAAATTAAATTAAATTTTATATATTATTTTATTTTTATGACGTAAAAATTTGCAACCCCTACTCGAAAATTCGTAAATCCCCGACCCTCGAAGAACCTCATAGCTTTCAAACTAAGCTCTATTTTCCTCATTAAAATCCACGAAGAGAGAAATTATTCGGTAATATCCGCACACAGTCACCAAAATCTCTCATCTCGAAAATATATATATACGGTATAAACAACAAATTCTCGCCAAGTTGTCTTTCTGCAGATTCTGCTATTAATTAATAAAAAATTCAGGGAAAGGAAAGCAGTTCTGCAGATTAGGGAAGGAAGGGAAATACGAGAGTCGAAGGGAAGGACCATTCCAAGAACTTCCTCATATTCTTCTCTCTCTCTGACTTTTCTCAATTCTTACCCCTCATCGTATAAACTTCGAGCGATCAGGATTGCTTTGCTGCTGCGTAAGCATTACAGGTGAGAACTATAAGGCACGGTGAGATGGGGCAGGCGTTTCGCAAACTTTTCGATACATTCTTCGGCAACTCTGAGATGCGCGTACACCCTCTTTCTTTGCTTTTCAAACCTTTCGATCTGTCATTTTTCTTGTCAATTGCCTCAAGCTTATTGTTCAACTTGTGATTTCCGGGATTTTAACTTTGCGAATCATTTAGTCCCTCAGAATTCCACAATTTGGATAAGTAGTTATTATTTGGATTATGAAGCTCCGAATTGCAAGATATAACCTTTTAATTCTAAGATTTCCTGCTTATATATATACACCCAATTTTCTCCTTTGATGAATTCGCCAATGCTGTTGTAGACTTGTAGTTGACATTTTCAGTGTTTCTTTTATGCTATTCTAATCGATCCTGCATTTTAAGCTAGTGCATACATCGTTAAGCTCTCGGGTTGACTTGTAAAGCAAAAAAACATTCTAGAATACTCAATAGAATAGTTGAACTATAGGAAGGCATTGCACCAATTAACCTATGGCTCTTCAGTCAGAAATTATCTTGGATCAATACAACTCTCAATCTCCCTGTCAAACATCTAGGAAAGTAGATCATTGTCAATGTAACCAATAGTGGTATGCTCAGTAAATCCCATGGCAATTCTAAAACTTTGCTACCTCTTGTCGAATATTCTCCCGCATAGGAAAAATGTGGGATGGTTTTAAATTGGAACTTAGATTCTTTCTTAATATGGTATCGGAGCTATGATGTCCGTATTGGTTATTGATCCTGATTAGAATTTCGAGATTATCATCTCGAGGGGGAAGTGTTGAATATTGTTCCACATAGGAAAAATGTGACAACTCTCTATTACTTATAAGGGTGAAGGACTACTTCACTTAACACCGATTGGTTTTAAGTTGGAACTCAGAAACCCTTCTTAACACCTCTGTTGGATGTCATACCCTTTATAGTATATTTTGTTGACATCATGACTGATTATATCTATGTTTGCTTAGTAATGTCATTATAAGCACTGTTGTATTTATGCTTCTTGGGTATTTTATTTTATTTTCTTTAAAGCTGTATATGCTAATCTAATGTATTGGGACATAGCTATCATCCCAAGTTTGTAGCAGTATCTATGCTCTGGAAATCTAACAGTCAATACTTTCAATAGTAGTTAGGCAATCCCATTTACATTTATAAGTTGAGTTAACCGTTTGGTAGTTTTTGACAAAGGATCATGCGTGCTGATCAAACCTTTTTGATCACTATGTGAAAGTTGTTTCCTGGAGCCTTGCAGTTTGCACATGCACTTAGGATTCACTCTGTTTGTCAATATATATCGTATCTTACAATCTTTCCTTTCTATTGTACGTTTTATTACGTCAATCCTCTACAAGGAAATTTCATCTTTCTGCTCTTGTTTGTGCTGTGCAAAAAATTCTTAAACCTATGCACTTTTGGCTCAGGTTGTGATGCTTGGGCTTGATGCTGCTGGAAAGACCACAATACTATATAAGCTGCACATTGGGGAGGTTCTTTCAACTGTTCCTACTATTGGTTGGTTCTTTTTTTTTTTTTCACTTGTGAAGCTTCTTCATGAGACATTTCAATAAAGCTTTGGAAATTTCTCTTATGCTGGTTAGATGAGTTATTTGGATTTAATAACCTAAATAATGATTACTTATTTTTTTTTATATTTGGCATTACACTTTTGTCTATTGTCCAGTGTTTCCGGTTTCTTCTTATTCATTGTTTCAACAATATGGTTTATCTCTAATTAACATGTGTATTGTGTTGCATTCAAAGTGAGCTAGTGAAGGCATACCTGTTTTTAGTTTCGTATACTTCTTTTAGTTGGCTGTAAATGTGATGGTTAGGTTAGGGAAACCTACATTCTCTCCACTTCCCAGAGAAAGTTCTAGTGACTTTAATGTGGCTTAGAACTGAACTTGTGTGGTAACTTGGGTGGTACTTAAGGTGCATGATGTTTGTCAGCAGGCCCTGCAAGAAGGGATAGAGATTCCTAAGGCCTGAAGTTACTTCTTCAAGACTTCCACCCAAATGGTATGATAGGAGCAACAGTGACACCATAGAGAGAATCTGATCATGCATCAATATATGAGGTGTGCTTGAGCCAGCTATTTGTGCATGGCATTAAAAGTTAACAGTAGATAAAGCCCATGGCTTTGGACATTATAATAGGGGTGGCCTGTGCTATTTTTTGCTGGATTTCTGAAATGCATACCACCCAATAAAACCTTTAATATATGAAGAAGCAGGGTTGTGGAGATTGGTGATTGGTCTTCCCTGAGTTTTAGGTATAATCTGTGAGATGTTCATTTGTGGTGGTGAATAAGTGATATGGTTGACTGATTATTTACATACTTGAGGAAAATGGTTGTCTTAGCTTCTTTGGTTTGTTTGCTGTCAGCATATATGCTATGTTTTCCCTCGTCTGGTTTATATTTTATGTGTGCACTTAAATATTTTGGCAGATTTTAAAATTGATTAAAGTTATTGCTATCATACAGGTTTCAATGTTGAGAAGGTTCAGTATAAAAATGTGATTTTTACAGTGTGGGATGTTGGTGGACAAGAGAAATTAAGACCCTTATGGAGACATTACTTCAATAATACTGACGGACTGGTAAAATTTTAGTTATGAGCTTCATAATTTTTCTGACTAGTTTTACATACTGCTCTCTTTTTGGTAGTTCTACACTTTTCCATTACTATGATTTAAAGCATTCCAATTTCCTCACATTCACCTGTTAAATAACATACGGCATCATGGTTGTTATCTTGATCCCCAATATCTTTCCTACCCGAACACTCTGACTGGACCATATTATTCATCATATTTAGGATTTTCTATAATATGTTACATTTATTATGATTTGAATGATGGTAGATCTATAATTTGATTTTGTTTCACAATTTTATTGATGTGCTGCTATAAATAAAGTCTTTTAGGCTTTGTTTGTTTGTGGGTTTTCAACCCGGACTTTACTAATCTACCCTCCCGTCCCGCAAAAAGAAAAAAAAAAGATCAAATTAAATTTCTATTTTTTATTATCTTTTTATATTATACTAAAAATCAATTAATCAATTTACTTTCAAAACATCACATAAACATCACATTAAACAATTATTTCAACTCAAAATTTTACTATTCAAAACCCCAAACCCAATCTCCAGGTCCATGTCTGGTTGCCCCTATTTATGTTGATATTGGTTCATTATTCTACCTTTGCTCATCAAGCGTCAATAAAATAATTGTATGCTTGAATTGAAGTTTCTACAGAACAGTATAAAACAATTTAAATACTTAACAAGCAAAGTGCATAACTCACCCTGAAGCCTTTCTTTATCTTGAGTTAGCTATTTGATCAAGCATATGAGGACAAAACATGATTGTTTGGTGTTTTGTTTCTGATGGTATGGGGTGATATACCATTGACAAAGGAACAATATGAACCCCTGGAATTAGTTTCTTGTGCCAAGGACCTTTGGCCCTTATTATCTTTTAAAAATTCTATTCAATTGGAATAGCCTGATATTGAATTGTAGTGCTGAAATGAATGGAGAGGAGCAGAGAGTGGAGGAAAGGAGAACTAGTTTGCTGATTTTTGTATGATTTGAGATTTTCTTTCAGTTATTTCAGTGCACTTTGTAATTGTACCTATTCTACATATGCATTTAGGCAGCTGTGTTACTTGCTCTTTGGTCCATGATGACATCTCTTTCATATGCAGATCTATGTTGTGGATTCTCTGGATCGAGAGAGGATAGGGAAGGCAAAGGCAGAGTTTCAGGTTTTATCTATGAATATGTTATCTCTGTACTCCATATCTTTTTAAGTTTGTTTCGTTTTAAGCTGATTTATTTCTTTCCCAGACCATCATCAGAGACCCCTTTATGGTCAATGCTGTTATACTGGTGTTTGCAAACAAACAAGATATGGTATGCATCTGCACGACCTCCTAAAGTACATATAATGTAATCTAGCACCTGTGAAGCTGAGGTTTGATAGGAGTTGTATTCTTTGGTTGCTGTTTTTTGTTTGTTAACACTGAATTAGAGAATTAAGAACAATAGTCGAATGATGGGCTCATTACATTATAAAATGATACATAGGACCAACCCTATTTAACAAGATATTAGAAAAGAGCTCTGGCCAGTCAAGCCAAAGGCCATATCCAAGACTAGGATCATATAATGGCACACTGATTTTTGGAAGGTACTGCTTACAAATTAAATCAAGTCATCCACTGAACAAGGAGAACCTACAAGAGATAAGTTTTATTCCCGGTGTGTATAACAAGGCTGTGAAACTGTATCTATGACCTGTTAAACTGAAATGCATGGCTACTAAGAACTGCTCCAAAGGTTCTTTGTGCTTCTGATATCATTATGCACCATCAGGATTGACCCATGAGCTTGTGTCCAATTGCTTTTAATAATTCTACTCTTTTATTTTCCAGAGAGGAGCAATGCCACCAGAGGAGGTTTGTGAAGGCTTGGGCCTATACGAACTTAAGCATAGGAAATGGCATATACAGGGGACTTGCGCTCTAAGAGGGGATGGGTTGTACGAGGGACTCGACTGGCTGGCAAGTACGTTAAAGGAACACAAAGCTGCTGGATTTTCTTCAATAGGCCCTTCATTGTATCAAGGTGAAAGTTCTGGCCTCAGACTTGCACAACTTTCTGGAAAATTACAAGAATGCAGTTATGACGATAACAAATTTTGCCTGCAGGTTGATCAACCTGTAAATTAGAGAGAGCCAAGTCGAGAAATATGCTTGTGGATGTGGAGTAGTAAAGTTGATTGTGAATCCCTCGCTACAACAGTTGATTTTACAGCCTTCTTTGGATGTCCATGTTCATCGAGGTAGCTCATCTCCTGCAATGTGATACTTAAAATTGAGAAGCTGATACTTGTACACCCTGTGTAGTAAGTAAAACCCAAAGGTACCAGCATTAAATACGGGGGGAAATGCTTGCTTGTTTGATAAGAATTTTGTCAGTGCTCATCCGGTGGTTTGTATTTGATATTGCCATTCTCTAGGTATGTCCTGGAAATTGGAATTTTAACATCTTTCAATCAATATTGGTAAATAGGAGGATGGACATATGATGTTGTTTCATATTTTAAAATGTGGTCTAAAAGATTACCTACTTTTTTCGATAACGATTTGATCTGCAAAAGATTACCTAAACCATGGTTGGAGAAATAATCTAGAATGAATGAAAATAAGGATGAAATTGAATTTCGCAAAGGTATGCACGATCTTGGATATACTTTGAGTCGCTTTCTTTATATGATATTTCGACTATATTAGCGCTCTGGATTACACAAAATTCATACGAGGATATATATTGAATGGAACTTCATAATATTTTTGAAATTATATAAATTGTGAATTAAAAACTTGTTAAATTGAATACAAATTGATATAAAAATCTTCTACAAGAGTTTTCTAAATGTGCTGCTAGATTTGAGATTGGTATCAAACATTGCAAAGATTAATAGTTTAATTCTTATGCTGGCAAATAAGTAGATCCTAGACCCGACCAAACATAAGAACCATATATGGCAGAAAAAATGTAAAAGACTAGGACGTCATTATTCATTCATTCTTTTGCAGCATTTTCCGGTGGTCATTATTCATTAGCAGCAAAAAATTGAGGGGTAAAAACAAACAAGCCAAACAAAATACACAAGTAACATTGATGCCAACTCTTGCTTCTTTTTTAGTAGTAGTATTATTTCATGTCAAAAACTGCCATTACCAAAGAGGTAATGTCATGTAATGTAATGTAAAAGTAATGATAATCGAACAAGACTGACTCAACTCGACTGAAAAACACACACATATACCCCAGGCCTCCGGATCGAAAGAAGTGTGTGTTTGTTAATAATCCATCCACCCCAACTCAATTATTCTCTGGAAGTGGTTGCAGAGCTGATCTCGATGGCGCCACCGCCTGCCCCATCTCTACCTTGCTGCTGTCATGATGATGATTCCCTTGCCCATGGCTGTCATCATTTTCGTCGTTGCTATCATTTATGCTTAATTTTTTGAACTTCTCCTTCACCATCTTCTTCAGCATTCTCACACTCATTTCATCATAATTCACATTCTTCTTCTTAGTAGTATCTTTGGCACCCTCTTTCATGGTACTCAGTTTGCCACCACTGCCAATGTTCTCTTTGTTGTCTGAGAAAACTGCCCACTGCCTGTTGTTGCTCGCCTTGCTCGCTGAATTCTTGATTGGCGTCGTCGAGGTGATTAGGTCTGTATCTGTTGATCCTGCAGGTGGAATAATCTGAAAGCTCTTCTTCTTCTGAGGCTCTTCTTCATCATCATCCATGATCTGTTGTTGTTCTTCATTCTTTGGCACCAAATCAGCAGCTAAGCTTTCTTCCTTGTGTTCGAATATTCCAGTTTCTTTGGGCTCATCTTCTTCGTTGAGTTCTCCATCCACCACCAGTTGGTCAGTGCAGCAATCAGAATCACCTTCCTTGGTAGCAACAACAGCAGCTTCTTGTAATCCGAGCTCTGTAAGCTTGACCACAGCGTTGTCCACATCTGTGTCTTCATTCCTTTCTTTCTCAATCTCATTGTCTGCTTCAACAACCACAAAAAACTTTCTAAACTCAACAAGAATCATAAGCATAAATAAATGCAAACGCGAAGACAACATTGATTAATTAATTACCTTTTTCATTTTCGAAAGCAATGTTCTTGAAACCCTCAGGCTCAGCAGCAGCAGCAGCAATACCTCCCTCAGGCTTCTCCCCCTCCTCATTGTATGTATCGTTCAGCAATTCCATGTCCTTCTCCACTGTGGTGTGGAACAAAAATCAGGCCCAGATAGTAGTTGTTAATGGCATTTATAACAACATGATTGATTAGATTAGTTCATATACTGAATAATACAACATTTTACTCACCAAAGAGCTTCTGTTGAACTTCATGTTTAATGGCTGCGATCTCATCACTAAGATCATCTGCTTTAACACTTCCTTCCTCACCCAATTCGGCTTCTTTGCCAATCACTTCATCATCCAAACTCAGAGCTATGACCACGCTTTCGACACCCGGGTCCTGTGTGTCAACTCTTACGTCCTCACCCAATTCTATGACTATGCTTTCGCCACTCGGTTCTTGTGTGTTAACACTTACTTCCTCACCCAATTCAGTTTCATCATTAGAACCCAATTCTATGACTATGCTTTCGCCACTTGGGTCTTGTGTGTTAACACTTACTTCCTCACCCAATTCAGCTTCATCATTCGAATTCAGAGGCATGACTATGCTTTCGCCACTAGGATCTTGTGTGTTAACACTAACTTCCTCACCCAATTCACCTGGATCACTTCCTTCCTCACCCAATTCTATGACTATGCTTTTGCCACTCGGGTCTTGTGTGTTGACACTTACTTCCTCACCCAATTCAGCTTCATCATTAGAACTTAGAGCCATGACTATGCTTTCGCCACGCGGGTCTTGTGTGTTGTTATCCCTCTTTTTCTCTACCTGTTCAGCTTCTGCATCTAATCCAATTCCTGTTTCTTTCTCGTTGCTCACCTCCATCTCTTGGTTAGAACCATTGGCGGCCTCAGAGTGTTCCCTTTCCTCCACTTCATCTTTGCCACTTTCTACGACTTCATTACTCAAATTCAGGGCTGCACTAAGGTTTTGAATGCAGATATCTTCAGCTTCTTCCCTTTTCTCCTCGTACAGTTCAGTTACATTCTCAGAAATGCTGCTGCTTACTTCTCCATATGCAACGTCACTAAGAACGCCCTGTTTTTTAGCTGAAACAACCTCCAAGTTATACGGTACAGAAATCTCAGACGAATCAGTGCTTGAATCACCACCTGCAGATTAAGAACACAAGAAAGATTTACTAAAATTGAAGTCTGAACTAAAAACTTCAAGGAAACTCTATTGATCCAAAACAATAAATGGATACCTCCTGTAATTTCTTCATCAAAGTCCTTTTGTAACGCCATGTCCACATTTGTCGATCCACTTTTAGTTGATTCCTTCTTAGCTATCGAGGAAGACACACCATGGTTGCCCTCATTCAGCATCTTCAGACTTTTCTCTGCCAGCCTGGCGGACCTTCGTGTGCTGTACACTCTCTTAACCGTACTATCCTCCGCCCCCCTTCTTCTTCGGCTAGTAGCCCCCAATGGAGCAGGGGTCATCAGAACATCTCTCTTTTCATCTTCTACCTCGTCTTTCTTTCCAGATTGCAGCGTCGACATTGCTGCTGTAGCTCCAATTTCATTATCCTGAGACTGGGCATTATTATTGACCAGGTTCCTTCGAGTTGAACGCCCAGATTGTCTCCAGCGAGTGCTCCCCGCAGCACTTGGCGGCAGATATGGAGACATCACCTCTGATCGGGTTGGAGATTCAATCGATGACTGGGCAGTTACAGATTTTGATGGATGCATCAAATCGTCAATTCCTTCAACCTGTGAAACACAAGTTATCAGTATATATAGAACAGAGTGATCTTATCAAATAAGCTCATTCACCCTCCAATCGAATTAAAAGATCGCACAGATCTACAGCCCAACAAGAAGAAAAAGTATATTCGAACATATAGTAATAAAATGCTTATTATCTGTCCCCAATCATTTCATCACAGGAAAACTAAGCAAACGAAAGTAAAAACAGCCGTAATGTTGATTCAAACATAAAATGGAAAAAGGAAATAGAAATGAAGGATTGAAGAACGCACGATCTGAAGAGCTTTGAGAGCATCTGCCATGGCAACATTGGTGATGTTTGCAGGAATTTTATTCTTCTTGCAGAGAGCTTGCAATTCTCTCCTGGAAAGGCTGTGGAAATCCATTGCTGGTGCAGTGTGTGAGAACTGAGGGTATGATAGTATTGAAAGCTGGTGATGGAAGAAGGGATAGAAAAGCCAAATATATATATATATACAAGATGTGGTGGGCGGTGGGGAAGGAAAACCCTAGAGATGACCGTTGGATGGATTTGAAATTTGAATTTCGATCGTTTTTGGGAGCGGAGCGCCTCCATTAATTTTGATGGATTAAATTATTTTAATATAATTACCAAAATTAGTACCACGCCCGATTTATTACTATTTTTTAATTTTATTACCAATATTAGTACGGTGCCCAATTACGCCTGGGTTAGATGAAGGGCATTTTCGTCAAACTATAATTCAACAGTCAGTTTTTCACCGACTCCACGAAACTCAGGGCCTGCTTCTTCTATTCTTCTGTAAAGTTTCTTTAAATTTTATTATTTGAATTTTTGTTTTTTAAATATATATATATTTTATAAAATATTTTATTAAATATTATTTTTATATACTATACAAAAACCAAATTTTTTCCAATCAATTGACTCCGTTTCGAGTCGGATCCGGTCCAGCGGAATTTCTCGGATTTGGAACATTGTTTGGATCCAAAGTCTATCCGAATCTGAGCCCGTTTTATATGATGATGGATCTGATATGATTTTGAATACAGATGTTTGTATATGTAGAATATTAATTATTAATATATATATAATTATATACTCAATATCTAATATTAGGTGGTTTAGTAATTTTTTTGACATTATAATTTTATTGTTAATTGTTTTTTATTTAAATTAAAAATACTTGATGGTAAAATTTAATTGTCATATTTTTCCACATAGTGGGAGAATTTATACATTGAATTTGAAAGTTCTGCAAAAATAAAAAATAAAAAATTCCGTCACTAGTTCAAGTGAATGGACGAGTTTCGGAAAATGATGCAACTAGTGAATGCTACGAATGAACCTTTTTCCCTTCACAAGTGGACGAGAAATGAAATTCAAAACTTTAACAAGATTTCGATTTTGTTTTAAATGTTCAATATCAGCTTGACCTTTTTTCCTCAATACAAAAAAAAATTACCCTGATTGAATCCAGATCCATAAAATCATGAGCCGTGTGAAATGTAGATCATCGTCCGTTCTTAGTTTTCTTTCAAGAGCATATTCATTCGCGCAAGTACAGATGTCGTATTTCTTCAATGGAATATCCATTCCAACTCACATGCTTTGTTCCAACTTCAAATGTATAAAAATATTGAATCTAAGACCAACTTTGATGAATAATTTTTTACATTTAAAGATGAACAACAATTCATCTTATCATTATTATTAATTAGTTTTGAAATAAAATCTCAAATCTCTTCTTAATATGAAAAATAAAATATAATATAATAAAATCAAAAAATTTATAAAAATCGAGAGCAATTTCTCTTATCATCAATTGAGATGGGACTTTAGATTCTTATTAACACTACTCCATCTAACCAAAGAAATTTTAAATTTGTGGGGATTGACTCGTGACCGTGAGGTCATAGATTCAAATTCCGACGTGTCTTGCTTGCATTCGTCTTTCGGTTTTATTTTGTAGGTTATTAGGTTCCAAACAATAGTAAATATGGATTCCTACATTATATAAAAAAATATTAAATTAAAATAATCTCAAACAATGTAATTATTTGTGAAATCAAACTTCAATTACATATATTCAACCAAATGTAATTTTGGTTGATTGATGTATTACACGATCTTGAAGTCTGATTCTGATTTTTTAGATACTCTATCACACAAGCATGATTGTCTACAAAATGTGATCAATCCATTTCTCAACAATCAAATTGAGATAGATCATAATAAAACATGTATATATCTATTTCATTTTTTAGAATCATAGGATTATATAGATGATATATGTCCTTATTATCTCTATTTCTCAAACAACCAATGAATTATGAATGAAAAATATCAAATTTGCAAAAAAAAAAAAAAAAAAAAATGAACATCAAATTTATAAATCATAATCAATTTGTGACATCATCAGGACATTTCTATTTACCAAGACAAATTTTCAATTCTCAATACATGAATCATGAATTGATACTACCAATAATTTTTGGGATTCTTATGCAACAAAAAAATAAAATAAATAATTCTACATAATTAGCATTTGATTTTTTAAAACATTCTTCAACAAATTGTGAAAGCATGACTTCAATAAATGGTGAAAGTATATTTTCAACAAATTTAATCAAACATTTTTCAGTATTTTTATTTTTTTAATATAAATATAATAATCTATGTTGTCAGCAAACTATTGGTGTGTTCGATTGGTAAAATTTTTTAATCAATATCTATTTATATCATATTACACAATTATTACACTTTAAATTTTTTAGTGTTCAAATCTCAAATGGTCGAACAAACTAAAGTCCATTACATTTTTTTTTATTTATAATAGACCAAGTGCACCTTGATGTTGTTGAAAGTATTATATTTATAAGATGATTGATAGCACAAGTAAGACATCCTTCCTCATTCCAAATCTATGAAGAAATTGATTATGTGGTTGAAGATCTTCTGTGTGTAGCCCAGCAGTGAGAAATTGATAGCTGAATTCCTCCTATTCAAAAGAAGCTGAGCTGTAGGAGAGACAGAGAGGAGAGAGAGACGGTGAGGTGAGGGAAATTAGGAGATCGTGAATACTGCTGCTACGCCTGCAATTGCATCCATGTCTGAATCTGAATATGATAGAATAGATAGATACGATGATTCAATGAATGATTAGATAGATAGGCTAGGGTAGGGTAGGGTAGGGTTTCCTCGAATTCGATTCCGCCATTTCCCGTTTCCCCATAAACTCCACCCCCGATCAGGATAGCATTTTAGCGGCTGCTCAGCCAACTACCCAATTTATTGTCGTGCATAGGCCCCTCCCCACACACCTTTCTCCTCCTCCTTCTTCTTCGTCTTCTTCTTCTTCCATCCATCAACACACACGCTCGGCTTGAATAGTAATAATAATAATAATATTATCTCTCGATTTGGATTTGGTGGTGTATTGGTAATCCAGTCAATCAATCTCTCTTGATTTGGTTTGGTTTGATCCCATCCCTCTCTGCATACCATCTGTTTGTTTCGTTGTTCTATGGGGGACTCGCCTGGGCCTGAGGATTCCTCCTCCCTCTTCCTCGCCCAAATTTCCACCCTTGTCGATCAAGCTAAGGAGCTCCAGGAATCCGCTTCCACTCTCATCTCTCGCACCTCCCGCGAAGAAGACGCCCTGCGCCAGCGCGTCGCTTCCCTTGATTCCCGCGTCACTTCCCTCCGCCGCACACTCAATCACAACCACAAAGTATCCCTCCCTCACTTCACTCGCTTTACTGATTGTTGTTATTATTATTATTATTATTATGGTCGAAATTGTATATTTGCAGCTTGAAGAAGAGCTAGTCAGAGCTAGATATGTCTTGAGTGAAGGAGACGCAGCTGCATTTCTTCCCGGAAAATCTCGTGGTTTGTTATTATTTTTTCTAATTTCATACTTTGGTGTTTGCAAATGAGTTGAAAACGAGGTCTTCTTCGTTTCCCTGTTTTGTGATCGCAGGAAAATTTTTAAGGATGTTCTTAGGGCCAATTAACGTGCGGGCAAACAGGAAGGATGTGCAGTTGAAAGTAAAAGAAGAATACAATAACTTCAGAGTATGGATTTGTGAAGACTGTTTCTTTCTTTTGTGCCAACTATATAAGTTCTAGTTTAGTCCATTTTGATCTCCCCAGTCTATATGATACCCTTTTGGGCTTACATATGAATTTAGTCAGTTGAAAGTAAAAGAAGAATACAATAACTTCAGAGTATGGATTTGTGAAGACTGTTTCTTTCTTTTGTGCCAACTATATAAGTTCTAGTTTAGTCCATTTTGATCTCCCCAGTCTATATGATACCCTTTTGGGCTTACATATGAATTTAGTGTTCTTTTAGACCTTTGAAGAAACAAGCATTATGAATTTTCTTATAATGGCAGGATGGGACGGCTTACTTGTTTCTGTGTTTGCCATCTCTTCTGCTTATGCTAAAGTCATGGATTTGGGAAGGATGTTTACCTGCTTTGCCTGTTCAATTTTACCAGGTACTGTGAGAAGATGAGTTCTGCCTTAATTTTTTATTCCCACCCCCCCCCCCCCCCCCAAAAAAAAAAAAAAAAAACTTCCATTGCCATTGTGAAAAATAATGTACAACTAGGAATTATGCTGAGAGAATAGAATATTGCTACTTACAACTACTTCTTTAATCATCTCATATTTGCAACAGATTTCGATATGATAAAACAACATATGACATCCATAATACTACAATCATCTCAAATATGTGCGCCCCTCTGGGCTCTTAAGTGTAACGTGTTGTGTTATGTTCTTCCTGTGAAGTGTATCATTTTGATTTTCCTAGCTGGAAACGATTTTCCTGTTCCAGGCCTGGTTGCTGTATCTCTACACAGGTTTGGCCTTAAGAGAAAATATACTGAGAGTTAACGGAAGTGATATACGACCATGGTAAATGAGTGTTTGTCCAGCCCTTTAATATGATATTTTCTGAATCTTTAAAGATATGTATTTTGACTGCTTAAATTATATATGAATCGAAAAATATCGTTTCTCATGTTCTTTTACCAAAAAATATTCGTGCAATATTTCATATTTGGATGAACTGTAACAAGATTGATTAGACTAATCATATCAACAATATGCATTCATTTTCAAGAGTTTATATAAAAACTCAAGAGTTGATGTAGAACAATTTCAGTATGGGTGATCTCCTAAAATGATTCATGTTGATATGTGGAATCAGTCTATGATCATATAACATGGCCAGCTAATAATAAAAAAATTCTCAAAAGATGAGTTCACTGCCTCCATAGTTGTGCCATGGGTCTTTATGTGGGAAGAATTCCTGAACGTTAATAATATGTTATTGTGTTCTGATTTAAAAACTGGCGGATTCACCCAATTTTATCTTGATATGTTATCTTGATTTTGCTTCTGCAGGTGGATTAAGCATCATTATTTTGCTATGGCAATGGCTCTCATTAGTCTTACATGGGAGATAGAAAGGGGGCCTGAATGCGCACAGAAACAGGTGGTCTCATTAATTTCTACATAAAATAAAAACATCCGCCCCAATTCCCAAAATATATATATATATATATATGTAAGCACCTTGATTTGTTCTCTATATTTTGTAATTTTTTATCTTTTTCTGATTTCTTTCACTGCACATGATTGACAATGCAATGGTCGATGTAGAGAGGTGTAGAACTCTTTTTGAAATGGGCCATCATGCAAGGAGTTGCAATGATCCTTCAGAATAGATATCAACGGCAAAGGCTATATACCCGCATTGCCCTTGGGAAGGTGACAAATCAGCTTTTGTAGAATTTATGGATTGCTCGACCATTTGTTCTTCAGCTTCTTGTGATTCTTCTTTTGAAATTTATTGGACAGTTTTTTGTTTCATTTTTCAGAGGGTCTAGTTTATAAGATTCTGCTCTACATTCTGTTCTCTTTTATAACTTGTCGTTTGTGATTGTAGGCAAGAAGAATGGATGTCGTTTGGGGAGAAACTGCTGGCGTGGAGGGTCAGTTGTTGTTGCTGTTCCCTATACTTTTTGTTTTGCAGGTAAGTAACTTTTATGGTGATGGTGGTGGTGCTATTGCTACCACCCTGCATATCTGATGGCTGTTCTTAAATCCTCTGAATGAGCTGGCGCCCGAGTATATATATATATATATATATAATACGTATACGGTTTCGATTCAATTTCGTTGGGTTTTCTTTCTCTTAAAGTTTTTTTTCTTATCAGTGAAGACTGATCAAACATTAACAAGGAGCTTCACTCTGTTCTTAGGGTTTTGAAGCCTATGTTGGTGTCCTATTGCTTAGAACTGCACTTGCTGGATCCAGTTCAGATTGGCAGGTACATTTTTGTTTATTTTATTTTTAAAAGGCCCTGTGAAAACATAATCGTAGTTTGCATTGTTTGTTTGGTTTTCTATCACTTGGCAAGAAGTCGAGGCTGTAGTATCCTTAACCTAGGTGCTATATCAGTATCAAGATATATTATAGATTAAACCTGTTTCAGGTGATTGCCTGTGGATTTCTGTTGATAATCATGGCAGTTGGGAATTTTGCCAACACGGTGCAGACCCTGGTGACAAAATCTAGAGTCAAGGCAAAAATAAAGAGAGGTAAAAGCAGGCAAGAATTGAACCAAAGAACCGGAATAGATGACAAAAGGACGTCGTAGTGAGTGGAAAGTGGCTATAAATTTATGGATGAATAATAGTAGGACTAGGACTCGTATCGTGTTGTTTCCCCGGCCTGCTTTTCTCACAGATCGCAACACCACTTGGCCAGCATTTAGTTGTATTTGTTGGTAATTGTCGATGTCTCGTGTTTTATTTATACATGGGCATCAATCTATCTTTTGGAACAGAATTGTATGCTACTTATGCTTTATGACAATAGTTTATGTTTGGGTTTTTTGGAGAGAGGAACATGGGGAATGTTGATGCACAAAGTTTGGTTTTTTTATTGAATCATGATGGATTGATTACCCTTGTGCATATAGCAAAGAATACAATACACCTAAACAGATAATAATATATGTATATAATATATATATATACATACTAATAGTTGTACTCATCATCTCCATCCCCCCACCCTGTCGATCATCAACCTCTGCCGCTACTGCCCTCCCCCTAACCCTAACTGCATGCATGAATCCATTACAAAACTTACACACACACAAGTACTTCTTTTGCTACTAATTAAATTTCAAGCAAGCAAATCACCTGGAAAAGTCCCCCTTGAACAAGTGCAAAGAAAATACCAGAGCTAACCGCATTTGCTGCTTGATTCTGACCTCCACCCGAACCGCTAACCAGAGAGAACATTGCCCCTGAACTAAAAGCTGCAACCATGCTGCACTTAACCAACAAACAAACATAGGATGACGATGATGATGATAGCATACATTTACTAATATACATGCATTCATGGTAGCACATGACACTACATGTGTGGAATCATAAAGTGGTTTGACATGGTGAACTTCTTCAAGTGATGTTATATCAATCAATGTTATCAAGACAAGACAACCTTCAGATAACATATTGGAACCAAGAAGTATATATATATATATATATATATATATATATGGTCATGAATCATGACTTATTTAACTAATACTGCATTAAGACTCTCCACTATTGCAAATTGCAATCCAATCATGGTTCTGTCGGATGAAATGCAAATTCATTGAATTCTCAGCAGAATATATGAAAGAGTGTTTGGAGCAAGAGATGAAACACTTAAAAGGTAAACACAGGAATTGTAGGAGAGGAGAGGAGTGTGATATGTATATATATATATATGTATGCTCTCTACCTAGACTGAATGTCCTCTTTGCCTCTTATTCTTCTCATGATGCACGAAACGCCGGCATTGACACCTTTCATGACTGCAAAATTGCGTGCTTGCACTACGGTCCCCCGGCCCTGCAATTGTCTGCACAGAAATAAATAAGCATCCGGGATCCTCGTGTTATTGTTAATTGTTATGTAATGTTATCGCAGAATACGCCCACTTCCTTGTATTGTATTTGGAAATGAGTTGAATAATATTCAGCTTCTACTATGGATTGGTTCATAATAATCTGAGTGATTAATTAAAACACAGAAACTGAATATCCAGCAAGCCATAGAGCCAATTCAGACCGTTAGTTTCACATATCCACATTTTGGAATGCAAGGGGTTTCACATTATTCGTGCATGATTTTCCACAAGACCATAAACATAAATTGCACAGATACAAGTAGTACTAGTGCCAGCAGCACAATTCCAAGAAAAATATATGAATCCAACATAATCGATTAAACTAGCTAACAGAAAGGGTATCCCAATCAAGGAAGGACCTAACCTGACCTGACTGAGGCTGAGCTTGTCTTGGGTGATGAGGTGGTCATGCCCACGACCGTCCCCATGAAAGCGCCAATTGCAGCACTGGTAGTGGAGACAACGGCAGCCTCCACTGGAAGAGGTTGCTGAGCCAACCATCCCTTGAAGCAGTGGTTCACATCTTTGACTCGGGCCTGGACCCGTGCAATTGGACTCAGTTCAGCTTCTCCCATAGAAAATTCGACTGACCTCAAAGGACAGTCGGTTACCTTGTTTTCTTACATCTCTGAGACAAATCAAATTTAAAGGGTGGAAGAGCTGAGCAAAGCAGAAATTGTTGGTTGAGGAGGCAAGGCCAGCCATTTTTTTCTTAATTTATTAAAAAGCTGGCCTCGAAGTAGACGAATTGGCCGGCAGTTGTTGAAAGGTTTGTTTCCTATTCCTCTACTAGAAGGACCAGCAACAGACAAACGAACTTTAACTTCCTTATGCAGTTCGGGGAATACAATGATCTCATATATATATATATATATATATAGATTAGTTCAACAAATACACCTCCCAATCCCAGTGAGTCAAGAATCAATAATACAAAACATACACAAGTTCTTCACATGTTAGAAAGCATTTAGAGGAGGGAAAGGTATAAATCCAGATCATCAAATGTACAGAAAAGAATCTCATCACATTAATAATTAAATTAAAGCAGTATAGTAACAGGAATATGATGATAACAACAAATCAAAAAATAAAGGAACACAAAACAAAAATGTAATTGAGAAAAAGAATTTTAGAATCAACTACCAAAGAACAACCTCATCCTCAACATAATCAATCGAAATGTACAAGGCAGGTATTAAGTAGATGAAATCACCATAACGTCAGATCCGATCTGATCAAAGAAGTCCAAACAATACAAAGACTCCAAGCAACACCAGCCAAATAATGTGGAGCAACAGAAGGGCTTGCCCCGCAGGGCCAGCCGAGCCGCCGTTGCCGACCTCACAAAAGCCGAGTTTCTTGACACGCGCGCCGGCGCAATGAGCCTCGGCGCAGCCGCACCAATAGGTCACGCCGTCCACGCCGCAAACTGGATCGGGACGGAAGCATTTCACGGGGCAAATGTCCAGGGAATTGGGCGGGCAGATTTCATTCTCTCGCCGCTCGGAAGGGAGCTTGAGGAGGAGATCAGAGCCTGTCTGAGCGGAGATCGGCAAAAAAAGGGTGGCTAAAAGAAGAAGACGGAGCACGAAAACTGCGGGTGGGCTGCAGTCGGACTTGGAGAAGACACGCATCTCGATTGGCGACCTTCGAAACGAAAGATCGCCTTGATAGGGTTAGATGAGTCGTGGTGAGGAAAGGGATTTTCGAATCTCTACCGATATAGATATCTGTATCTATATCTCAATTCAATTCAACGTTATTGGCGCTCGTGAATGGCGAAAGCTGTGAGATAGAAAGGAAATGAAGAGACCAGGACAGGTTTCTGCAATTGGAATTTGACTCGTTTTTACCAATTTGGGGAAGACACCATAGACAGAGAGAGAGAGAGAGAGAGAGAGACAGAGAGAGAAAGAGGGGTAGCGTGGACGGTGGTGTATGAATAATCGAAATGAACGGAGAATAAGGTTATTATAGTAATTACATCTCTATATCTTTATTATTAATAGTAGTATTTTTTTATTAAAAATTATCGTATAAGGAAATTCGTATCCGTTACTAAGAAAAATTACCATATTTGTTTGACACTTCCGATTTTTGGTAAGAAAATTGTTATCGTCAATGACCTGTTTACTTTGTAACTAAGAAATATTATGGTAAGTTCTCAACCTTACTCTAGAAGTATCCAAATTTAATTTCACAAAGGCAAAAATAAATTATACGATAAGACTAAAAATAGATGCAAGAATTTAATTAATCAAAAGAAATAAAAATCAATATAGTAAGCTGACAAAAAAAACATTTAAATGCAAAATCGAACCGAATAAATTTATATTTTTATTATATTTTAAATTTATATTAATAATTATATTATATTAAGTTTGATTGAATTCAATTTGAAATATTTGCAATATTTTTAGTGAATTGAAATTTTAATTATTTTTTCATATTTGAGTTTTGCATACTTGCAAATAACCAAGTCGTGTCAACCCCAACTTCTATTCACATTTTCTTTTTATCTATTTATAATTTTATTTTAATAAATAATAATAATTATTATTATTATTATCATTCCTTTTTACCAATCATTTGATTTTTATTTACTTCACTTTTATATTACAATATTATTTTTAAATTAAATATCATTTCCAACCAAAACAAACATAATTTTCACACACTATAGAGTAGAAGACAACAAATAAGAAAAAATACAACACATTTTTGTGGAGTCCCACATTCATCATCCACTCTTTTATTTATTTATTTTTTTACATAATTTATAACTTATAATCAATCTTCTCTTTTGTACAGGCTTCTTGAAAAACAGCTCACCAAATCTATACCTATTATCACACACATATATATATATATATAATATATCTACCACCCACCGATTCCTTTGGATAAAAATATTACCTTAGGTCACCTGCTACACATATTTCGCCTAGTATGACTTGTTTGTCGAGCTTTGTTTGCAGAGTATTAAATTCGACTGAAAATTTACTCAGTACTTGCGAATTCTCATGTCATTAAAAATAAAAAATAAAAAATTGCTTGGAATGTAACTATCTTTATGATCATGGAGTAATTATTATTATTCCACATAGATACATATATACATTATACATTATAACCCCAGCCTTTCCCTCAAAACATTTCAATTTTCACAACCAAATTCATACAAGAACAAGTGCAGATAGAATAACACACAATACCATACTACTCATGGATTGCTTCCTTGCACCTTTGCTTATATGAACATTGCTGCTTGACCTCAAATATATAACAATCATAATACTAATAATATGACACAATTGCAAAATTCCAAATTGAGACTTTAAAATCACATCATACCAGTTTTCTTTCTGTCTGCCTGTCTTCTTCTACATCGGATCCATATTCGACTGAATCCCATTAATCCGATCAGATCAGTCAGTGCATCGCGCCGGCAACTGGGATCCCTCTGCCCTCCTTGCGTAAATCATCATCATCATCATCCTTCACTGCTCGATGGACTAGCAATGCCAGCAATGGAAAACTCACCGTCATAAGCGCCCAGTTCGTAATTAGTTCACTCAAAAATGGCACATTTCTTGTGTCTACTTGCCAAGCCACTGCAGCCCCTGCACTTTGCACCCCTTTGTAGAACCCTGTGTACCTACAAGACCAACGCTCAAACATTCAACAACAAATCGATATAATATAAAGCACCATTGATGAAATCCATTCCTCAATCCTGAAGTTTTTTTTATTCACCTGCTAAGAATCTCCGAATCATCAGCCAAAGCTCCGATAACCCAATACACCATACTCTGAAACATCGCATCCAGCAAACCGTAGCTGAAGTACAGCACAAATGCCCCTGCAAAATCACCCCCATCTTTGAAATCGAGCTTCTCCAATGGCAGATCTTTCCGTCCGTAATCAAGCTGCTTCACAAGCCCTCCGGCCCAGATGCCCGTCCCGAGCACAGCTACAATTGAGATCCCTACCAATCCTCTAGCCCTCCTGCTCTTGAAACTGAAATCCATGATGTACCCGATGATCACAGACCCGATCATCTGCGCACCCCAGTAGAATATATTGTTCAAACCCCTCGTCCTGATGTTGAACAGCACCCCGTTGACGTTGTTGAACTGGTAGCTGTAGAAGAAGTTGCTCGCCCACGAGGCGGGCACCATTAGCAACATCTTCCAATCGAAGAACAACCTCAGGATCGCGACAACCTCGACGCGCACGCTCGAGTACTTGATGTTGGTGCAGCGGGAGCCGTCGTCGCGCACCACGCGGCTCGGGTGCAGAATCGACAGCGACAGGAGAGTTCCGGCGGACATAAACACCATGAATCCGATGTAAGTGCCGTCGTTGACGGAAGCAGCTTCAGCCCTATGGAAATTCAGGATGAAAGGGATCAAACCGCCGATTACACCTCCCAAGTTGAAGATGCTCCAGAAGAGGGAAATGTAAGTCCCCTTCCGATCGTGCGGCGGATACGACGTCATAATCGCACCCTGCGACGCCCACAGCAGGCCGGCGCCAATTCCGAGCAAGGCGCCGGCGACAATGGCGAAGGCCTGGTGGTGGTAGTGGTTGTAGTAGAGAAAGGAGCCGGCGTAGAGAACGTAAGTCGAGCAGCCGGCGAGCAACGTCAGCTGGGGGCCGAGGATGTTGTAGATGCCTCCGCCGAGAACGCCGAAGACGGCGAAGGTTGTGTAGAGGGCGGTGTTGGCGTTGTTTGCGGCGGTTGGATCCACCTGGCCGCCGCCGCCCATGCCGGAGAGGGCGTTAAACATGCCGGGGCAGCAGAAGCAGACCAGTCCGATCAGAACAACCTGCACCAGAGGAGAATTGTAGCGGAAAACAGATTGTTTGAGAGGGACGACCGGCGAACCTGATCCGGCTTCTTCGTCTCCGGCTGGAAGACCCATCGGAAAACTGGAAGACTGGATGAATGGATCGACCTCCGGCGGACTGAAATTTAAGGCTCTGAGGAATTAGGGGAGAGAAATTCGTGGGATTTAGGCGGATTCCGAATCCCTAATGTATAGGGGAGGAATTTGTTGGAATTTGGGGGAATGGCTATTTGCGATTTGAGGAAGATGCCGGAATTGGATTCGCCATTTGGCAGATCACGTCGCATTCATGTCACAATCGACAGCTAAAATAATAGCAACCATCGAAGGGGTATCAGTAATTCAGTGTAATAAACCTTAAAAAACAATTATGGAGGTTTTTTTCCTATAGGGAACAAGACACAGCATACGACAAAACTTTTATGCTTTTGTCTTTTATAAAATAAAATAGTACTGTAGTATTATATTAATGTTTTTTGTTTCTTTTTTTTGTTTTTAACTATTTTTAATATTTTCGAAACTTTCAATAGTCTATTGTCTAAAGAGAGGCTTACTTTCAGGAAGTATATTATTGTTGTTATTATTCAAGCTTATCCTATCCTAACCAACATTTTACTCATCCAAAAGTAATCTAAAGATCATCGAGATTCAATTTATTGGGCTGCGACTTAATTATGGTAAAAGACAAAACTTTATGTGCTGATTTTAATAGCAATAATATCTAATATAGTAGTCATCATTAAGAATATTCAATGTGGGGTGCTGTAATTTGAATGAAACTCCCCCCTACACAAATCACAACCCTACCAAACTAGATCCACAAAGAATTGACTAATAAATTGCTACCCTAGGGTTTGCAAAAGTTAACACAACATGACAATCCAATACGAACCGGTGAAATAATTAAATTTGGGTCAACAATTTCTATACGGGTCCATGAACCCGATACAATAATAAACAGGTCTAATACGAATTCAACACGATAATAAAAAAATTGAATTACGATTGATATATTTAACTCGTTTAAAATATTTAACCCGACATGAACCCACGACAAATTGACCTATTGTCAACTCAATTGTTACCAATACCAATATTAATTTATAGAATAGAATAGAATAGAATACATCCACTTAATTGTTCATTGTTCATTGTTCATCCCCATCCCCATCCCCATCAAGCTGGTTAAGTCTTTTTTTCTGCCGGCATGTAAAGTATTACAGATTCCAGCCCTAACTTAGATTCCTACTACGACCGCATCATCATCGACAACAACAGCAACAACAAACAAGAATGGACACAAATTAAGTGAAGGCAGCCGGCCGGCCGCCTGTAGATCATTTGTATATATAATAATTGAGAGAGACACACTAAACATTCTTTCCCTATGTATAGGAATAAATGAATAATAGTTTTTCCTGACTATGCTCAATTCCCTTTGTATGTTCCTAAGTTCCTAAGTTCCAGCAACTGGATGATGAGTTTGCTGCTGCTAACTTACAAACAGTGGCATTTGGAGTTTTACTTGGTCATTATCAAAAATATGTCTTCACATCTTCCTACTTTACATGTCTCAAACTCCTTTTCTGCTAACAATGGCCTCAATAAACATTCTAAGTAGACTGTTAGAATACAACTAGATATCTTTATAAAAGATAAGAAAATCCCTAATTTGTAATATGCAAAAGAAAATTACTACACACGATAGCCGGCCAACATATACCGGATGGTGACCCCAGCTAATACTGCTTAAATGTTAAAGCTTAGTGCCAACAGACTGGTTTTGTAAGACCCATGACCCACCCTCGAACCCCCCAGAATTAGCCAACAGACTGGTTTTTGTTTTTTTTTAACATAAGTCTAACGATATATTATAATATTATATCAAATATTGAACATGTAATATTTCTAATGTCGAAAACATCAATGCATGCAACACACTGCTCGTATTAGTTGGAGACTGATAGGGAGGCAATGGGTATTGTATGAGTCGGGTATAGATGGACCCGAGACTCTATCCATATGTATATTACTCGACTCAAGACTCTACTAGACCCTAATGTACCCGGACCCTACCCGATGCATCCGCCAGACCCGCTAAATTCAAAAAATTTTAAGACAAGCTTGACTCTATCCAAATTACCTAATATCTATTTATTTCAAAAAAATAAATTAAAATATAATAGTCCCGGTCGGGGTTTACCCATTGGGTATGCTTTCGGATAGTGGCTGCGGATTCCCACGTTATAAAAAAAATAAAAAATAAATAAGGGTCTACAATTAAACCCTGACCCAACCTCACCCTCAAAAATTTATTAAAGACCCGATCTATATCCGACTCAATACCCAAATAATCAAACTCGATCCCAAATAAATAGGTAAGGTCGAGTCTATCCCTACCCATTGCCATCCATAGAGACTGATAATATATTTTAAGTTTTGATGAAGCGGGCTGCAAGTATGGCGGCAGCAGACAACTAAAGAACTTGAAAATGGAGATCAACAAAAAGTACAAAAATATAAGTCAAGAACGAGCATGGATTCAATAAAGGAATTTTCTTTTATCGAACATGTTACCCCCACCCCACCCCACCCCCCCAATCTATCTACAATCAAATTCTCAAAACCTTGAACCCATACCGAATGTAAATTTTTAAACCCAAACCCACTCCCAATAGGAAGGGGTCGGGGATGGGCTCTGCCCCAATAGGGTTGGGGAAACAACAGCCTCAGAAACTTCAGTTACCGCATACCAGCAATGTATAACACAAAAAAGTGTCTCTAACATATCTTAAAACAAGATATAGGGACAGAAAACGAAACAATCAAACGCTTCTACCATTAGCCAGTTATGAAATGCAGCACTATAAATCTTGATCCTCAAATATAAGATACCCAAAAACAGAAAATAATTGGATCCAAAAACAATGAGCAAAAGATTACCTTACAGGCTTACACTACCAAATAAACTCCTCACTCCTCCTCTGCACTCCCACCCTTCTCACTCGCATAAATACCATCAAGGAACTTCCTAATATCTTAATTTTTTCACATGGCATTTCTGTTCAAACTAATCAAACACAAGGGAGTATAAGGCAGCCAAGCTGATACATATTAAAACTCTGAACAATACATTGGAATCAATCCAGGCATAGACATATATAATATACATACATATTCACACTTGTAAGACTGAATGCTCAATGAAAGTAACTGAATCCAGAATCCCAGATGAAATTTTACCTGGTTTATCAAGACAGCAGAGTGAGAAAAAAGCTCGATATCATTCCCTTCCAAAATCAACTCATCTTTTACCTTCTCAGATCGCACAATGTTAACCCCTTCAAGCAAAATCCACCTTCCTCACCTGGTTACAATAGACAATATATGACAATAAAGACAATAGCTCCAAATGAAAGACACTATAGCTCTCTTTTTTTTCACCCTACACACACACATCCAACGCACCCACCCACCAACCCGGATCATAGCCCCCAAGCGGAGATGCCTTACCACTTGATCTACAATGACTTGTTGAAAGACATTATAGCTTAAAGTTCACGGATGAACCATATAAATTATTTACAGAACTCCAAATGATCAAAGAAATGCACAAAGGAACATCATTCCAGCATCCAAAGGATTGAGATTTATTAAAAAAATGCACACAGAGTTATAGGCCTAATCATAGTTCCAAAAGGCATACATAAAGACAATGAATCAACTGAAGATAAAAAAATAAAAAATAAAAAATAAAAAATAAAAGGCACGACAAATAGAAAAGAACACCATAAAAATTGCAACCTGTGTCACATCACATCAATGAACCAACAACATTGAGTCAGTGGAAGGATAATGGCATTGCATTTATACTCACTCAGTACTGCATAAAATATTTAAGCCAGAGACCTAAACAAAAGGCCTAGCTTAGACACCTAATACATCCTACACCTATCGCGCGCATATTGATTTACGAAGGGGAATCATGAGTGGTTTATTACCCTCTTCACGCCAAGGAAGTTGCAGATCTCAATGGCGATGAATGCGTTGATGGTAAAGTGAGCGTACACAAATCAATCGCATCTTGTAGCGATTGATAACCCTTGGTGACCTGACACCGTTAATGAGATTGGTGACGTGGCTGAGAGCAGTGCGAATAGCTGCGTCGACCTTGAGATTCTTCTTACCGCCGGCATCGTCGGTTATAAGCTGAAAGTCGGTGCATGAAATTGCGGGAGAGCTTACCCATGGCTGGAGCCCTCGACCTCGATGAGCTTGGCTTTGATCTGGATCTTGACCCCGTCGGACTCGGGGATCTCAGTGGAGTCGGTCTTCATGTTAGTTTGGGGCCAAGTGGTTCTAAAAGGCAAGAACTCTAACGTACAGACGGCGGCGAAGCAGAACAAAATGCAGCAGCAGGAATTACTCCCTACGTCCCAGCGCAGTGTATGCTATTTCCATTTTGCTCCGTATTTTTTTTTAAAAAATAAATATATATTTTTATATTTTAAGATTTACTCTCTCCGTATTAAATAATATAATATGGACTATTAATGTAAATATAAAAATTTAATTAAAATATAATCAATAAATAATTAATAAATATATTAGTAAAAATAATTATTATATAATAAAAATAATTATAAATTAAGATAATTAAATAATTTACTTAAAATTAAAAAAATTTAAATTTTAAATTATAAGATATAATTAAAATATATAATAATAAAAAAAATGACAAATTATTGGGCGTTTTAATTATTTTTTCATATAAACAATATTATTGATATATACATTATGAAGATATAATAAAATTTTATACAATAAAAATAATAAATTTTAAATATAAATTAAAATATTTATTTATTAAAATGAGAAAATAAAAATAAAAAAATTAAATAAAATTAATTTATATTTATTAAACATATTTAAAATAAATAAACTTACTAAAAATATAAAAATCCTCTTTTATTGAACAGAAAAAAAAAAAAAAAAAAAAGAATTATATGTCGCAAGAATGAGGGAGTAATCTTTTAAATTTTCATTTTAATTTATAATATTTATATCATTCTACCAAATGACTTGAGAAGACCACCAAAGACACCTTAAACGATTTTTAAGGTATGTAATCATCATTAACAACAATTCAAAACTACATTAATAAAGAGTAAAACATATAATAATAATAATAATGATGCAACCTCCCCATGTTACTTCATAAAATCTTGCAGGCAAACAAATATCCAACTCAAAACTTAACCAACCAAAAATAAAAAAGAACCTAATTCAATCTCAAGACAGCATTTTAGCCCAACATATTGATAATAATAGATGATGATCCACTAAAGCGTTAGATAGCAGCAAACAGAACAGCAATACATACCATTCTAAGCTGCCCCGGCCTGCGCAGTGAGCCTCTTCCTGGCCTCCTCGATGATGGACAATTTAATACCTTTACCCTTTGGAAGTGATACCCACGGTTTTGTACCCTTCCCAATATTGAAGACATTCCCCAATCTTGTGGCAAACTCGTGCCCGGTGGCATCTTGGATGTGAACAGTCTCGAAGCTTCCCTTGTGCTTCTCCCGGTTCTTTATAACTCCAACACGCCCTCTATTCCTACCGCCAGTCACCATCACGACATTCCCAACATCAAATTTGATAAAATCCACAATTTTGCATGTGTCCAAGTCCAGCTTGATGGTATCATTTGCCTTGATAAGAGGATCTGGATAGCGAATGGTCCTTCCATCATATGTGTTTAGGTAGGGAATGCCTTTGTTTCCAAACTGGACAGAACGGACTTTGCATAGCTTAAACTGCAGATGCATAGTAAAATACTGAGATTTAATATAATGCCCTTTTAGAACACAATAAAAATCACACCTCAATGATTGTTACTCAAAACCAGTAGAGAAATAAAACCAGGATGATTACCAAAACATGTATTCAGGCTGAAATCAATGAATGCAGCATCACTATGTAGTTATGTAGATACCCCAGAATAGATAAAAAATTTCATTTTCCTATGAAATTTGGCTGAATCTGGCCGAACACACCAGGAAGTCAGCAAATCTCACCAACACCAAGGGAAAGAGAAGATTCAAATGCTACCAACAATTAAATGCCTTTCAGAAATATTGGTTTGTTAATGCCAATAAATTGTTGGCAACATCTGATCCTAATCTGATCAATAGGCATTGGTGAAACATATTTCTAAAATTCATTAACAGGCATATTCACAATTTTATTCTATAATATCAAACAATTTTGCTATAGAAAATTATTATTAAAAAATAGATAAAGAAATTCTGGAAGAATACTAGAATATTTATCATGGATAGCACTGGATTAAGAACAAAAGAAACAACCTTAGCTTCCTCATCTCTTATAGAGTGCAGCCTGAAGCGACCCTTGGTATCATAGAGCAGCCGAAAATTTTCATTGGTCTTTGGAATGGACACAACATCTAGCAAAAGAAAAAAGGTTTTCCAACATAAGAACCAAATTTGTCAGTGTACAAAATATATATATATATATAATGTCTTGACAAACAAAACAAAGGCACTTCAAATTTACACAAAAGATCCTACCATATTTAACCTTTGGGAAGTATCCATCACCAGTAGGTTGTGTACAAATATGCACAAATTATTATACATCCAAAATATAGCAACCTTATTCTTTAGAATTGTACAGGGACATTTCTTACCCATAAATCCAGCAGGATAAGTCTTGTCGGTCCTAACCTTTCCATCAACAAGAACATGACGTTGCATCAATATAGCAATGACTTCACGGTAATCCAAGGCATATTTAAGCCTGTTCCTCAGAATAAGAATCAAGGGCAAGCACTCCCTCGACTTGTGAGGCCCAGATGATGGCTTGGGTGCCTATGTTGAAGAATGTAGAGAATGAAACATTAGTAATACAAGTTGGGTGTATATTTTTTGACAAAAGAAAAACAAATATATGCATTACAACCTCATATATACTACTAAAATGATGACGGCAAATTATAAGAATTACTTACAAAGGCACCGCCAAGTTTGTCCAGCATCCAATGTTTTGGGGCATTGAGCCTCTTCAAGTGCTTCTTCAAGCCTCTAGCCTGTTACACGCAATTATAAATTCCCCGATTATTTTAATGCTGATAAATATGAAAATTAAGGTGTGAGCGATGCACCCACTATACATAAAAAATCAAATGAGATATTATAGTAAAAATGCAGCCTCACTTCTACCGATTAACCCCGTTCCAACAAGAAATAACAGCTCAAATATTAGAACTCATCAACAATCGTTAACATAAACCCCAAGTATACGCCATTGCATTAATTAGTAAAATTCGTATATGATTTTTCAATAAAGATATAGCGGTTAACGATAGTAGCGTGTATACGTATTAGCGAAGCATGTCCCCAAAAAAAAACACCATCCTATCAAATATAAGGGAAATGGTAAATAAATCACTTGGCTAACTACAGAGATCGCAAAACCAAATACTTCGACAAAAGTAAATTATAACAAGGAAAATGCTGAAGATAAAACAAGTCGAAGTCGAGGAGCAGTAGTCAGACCATGGTGGTAGTGAATGCGAAGATCTGCGGTTTCTGTCCACTCTAGAGCGTTTCCGTCAATGGAGCATTCGAATCGGCAGAGGCGACGCAACAGAAACCCTAGCCGAACTCAAATATATATAGGTGTCCGAGCTGTTCGATATGAAATACAGAGAGATAGGTAAGGTTAAGCACTGGACATGGGTGGGATTCTTTTAATTTTCCAGCCCAGCACACATTTCAATTGGGCTTAGGGCCCATTTTTAATATTGGGCTTCTATTCCTTATTTGTTTCTATTCATTTTAATTTGGTGTTCCATCATTTAAAATTTTTGCGTAATTGACCTTTCTCCCATAAAAGTTTGTACTTAATTTTCTTAAAAAAATTAACAATCATTATTAATTAATAATTATTTTAAAAATTATATTAAATATTTATTTTTCTTATGAATATTATACTATTAAATATTTGATTTTTATTGCTTTTAAAATTTTCAAAATTCTTACCTAAACAAAGCCTTGAATTTTATATATTTATATATAGAATTTTTTCTTCTATTGTTTATTAGCATGCATTACAATTTACAGAGTGTTAATTGGGTCAGTCATGTTTATAAAAAAATTACTCCCTCCGTGAATTTATGCCATTTGACCGAATTTTTTTTAAAAAAAAAACATGATTAAAAATATTTTTTTTTTTCTTTTTACAGTAAAGAAATATAGTATTTTTCTTTATTAAAAAAATAAATAAATAAATTTGAATAACAAAAAAAAAATCGAAAATAAATTTGAATGATAGCATATTACTCCGCAAATTTAGTCCATTTAGGAGAATAAATATTTTATTGAAAAAATGGAAAAAAAAAATATAATAAAATTAGTGGTATCGGTTGTAAATAAGTATTGAATGAAAAGTAATAATTAAATAGTGATTTTTTGACTTTTTCAAATATAGTAATGGAATAAATTTAATCAGACAGACGAAAAAAATAAATAAATAAATAAATTTGGCTGACAAAAAGATTATGTAATTCAACTTGATTCAATATATAATTCACATAACAAATATTAATACAATTATTATATTTTTTAGTTTTATGTAACATAATACATTGTAATTTAAGCATAGTAAGCAAATTATAGAGCATAACACACGATATGACTCTGCACGGAATATATACAACATATATTATCTATTCCGTGAAAAATAATACTTCATCCGTCCCAAAATTATAGTTTGAGTTGTGTTTCACACGGAATTTAAGAAATATTAATATTATATTGATAGTGTGTTAAAAATACGGATAAAAAACTTTTTTGTCCTTACGGGTGTATTAATGTAAAAAGTAGTTGCAATTGTGTAATAATAATGAAAAGGTAAGAGTAATTTTATAATGATATAATTATTTATGGAAATAAGACTATTGTTTTGGAACGGACAAATATGATAAACAAGACTATTGTACTGAGACGGAGTATTGGGCCGGAGGGAGTATTAATTACTTCACATTAGTGCTGTAATTTGATTAAATAATCACTAATTTACACATATATAACACATGGACATTCTAATTTGATAGGATCTACCATGCCGACAAAAACGACCACACGAACAAAGTAAACTGTGTGTATATGCATATATATATATATATATTTGATTTGACATTTGACCTCTAAGTTAATCTTCAACAACAATTTCTAATTTATTTAATTAATTAATTAATTAAAGCTGAGAATGAGATTATATTGCATGCCAGGCCAGCACAGTACAACCGGATTGCATTTGCATGTGATCATAAGCTGAGAAGTCGTAGGTTCACACGCACCAGACCAGCAGATAGATACAAATATATATATATATATATAGCTAAACCAATATCCCACCGACTTGCACTAATCATGTATATATATATATATATTAATATTAAAATATTTGCGGCTGTAACCACCATTCACAATAAATTCTATTTAGCACGTGTGTGTTCACATTCATTTATGTAATCTTTGTCACATGTTTCATTTTTATTTATATATATATATATATATGAGAATACTTTTGAACAAAGAAGCTTGCTGAAAAACTCAGGTTGACATGTGGAGCCAGTATAGGATCCCAATATGCTTGAGTTTGCATGGTGTGTCATATATATATATATGCATACATACCATGAATGTTACTAGGTAGGTTTGTAATATTATTTTATGAGTAGTATTAATTTGAAAACTAATTCAAACACGATGGATCATCGGTGAGATAAGATTATATATATATATACTACAATATAATACAAATGTGTGTGAGATGAAGTTATGCCAATTCCCCTGACACTTTATCCCCTCTTTCTGGTACTCTCATATCTGCCACGCTTTCTTGCTAGATTTCTTCAAGACATAATCATATTATTATTAACCACTGTCCACCTCCATATAATTTCACCACCACCATCTTCATCTTCATCGGAGCAAAACTTCCACCACCGGCGCCGCCCTCCTTGTCAACTTCCCGATTTCCAGCTCAGCAAACAGCACCACCATAAATACCAACACAAGAATAGCTCTATCTCTGAATCTGATCACAACCAATATTGCTGCGCTGTGTGTCTGACACCCATGGCCATGGCTATGGAGGAGGAGGAGGAGGATGAGCCATGCGACTATAATAATTATAACATTGATGAACTGAAACGACTTACAAATTGCAGCCATGTCTTCCATAAGCATTGCATCAACGCTTGGGTTATTGGCAGATGCAAAACTACTTGCCCACTTTGCAGAGCCCACATCGATCCTGATAAAGATGAAGATGAAGATGCCTGGAGTACTGCTAGACTAGAACATAGATCAGAATCACTGATGTATTTCTTTGATGATGACGATTATACTGGCTCTGCCTTTATCATGTAGCTACTAACCATCCAAACAGATCTCAATTCATTAATCCAAGAAGGATATAACATTCTCTATTATTGTCAAATTGATGCAACTCAAATTTACAAAACCCAAATTGTAGGATATGTACATGTTAGCTCTACACTTACACTAAGCAGCAGTATTACAGACCAAAAAAAGGCCTAAAAATACAAAAACACAATATATATATGTGTGTGTGTGTGTGTATCATGAACAGCATCTCCCTATACCCTCCCCCCCTCCCCCCAATCCTATGTACTGTAACTAATATATACATACAGTAGCTCAGCTATCACGCTGTATGCATGGCCAGTGTGATTTCGCAAACTGTTATATATTATAAACAGCCCAAAAATCTATGCTATCGATCAGTTTAGTTATTTCTTACAAAATATCTTCAGATCAGAGTGGGAAGCATGGCAGACATGCCAGCCTACGCAGCTGATGAGCTCCCTGGCGGTAAATCATTAGGTACTTGGCGAACAAACTGCCCCTTTACACGCGGACGCTGCTCAGCCAGCTTTTTTCTGCTTTCATAGCGTACCTGTTGCCAAAACCCTTTTTCAGAATCACCCTTATCTCATCTACCTACGTTATGTTAAGGTTAAATCAAACTACACATTCAAGATTTACTTATAATGAGGATGTCGACTAACCTTCTTCTCAAAGCACCTCTCTTTTCTCTTCATTCTGAATTTTGTGAGGGCCACTTCTCGTTGTATGGCCCGATGTGATGCTCCCTCCTGAACGTGGAAACCATCTTCACTGCCACATTCCGGCATGGAATTGATCATGCTGTTGTAGTGGTGGCCATTGTAGAAACTACTGCTGTTACCACCACTCTGATCATTATTATTAGCTGATGATGCGTGGAGGTGGCACTGATCCAAGTTTTCCAATTTCTGGTCACGTTTACTATCTGTCCCTTGATCCAGAAGATTATTGAATTGGGGAGAACTTGAAGGTCGGTAGGCTGCTTGGTAGAAAGGATTGTTACTAAGTTGAGGGAAATGGCGCGGGTAAGTGGCTGTGGTTGGATTTGGCAGAGGTGAGAGGCCTGATGGAACACGGGACACTTGAGGCATCATGGGACTTAATCCATTTACAACATTCCCAAATCCTTTTACTCCACTGACAGGAATAGGTGGAGATATTTCTGTTTGTTGATTGTAGGGAAATGGCACCTTACGCAATCCTGGTTGAAATGAGGCCGCGTGTGTGTCTGAATTATAATCAGGGGCCTGATTGGATACTTGTCTGTCAGAATTGGTTTCGCGATCCTTGTGTTGATTACAGGTGCTCGGTGATGTAGAGTTGCGAGACTGCAGTGGCTTGCCTATGTACCTGCATGCATTATTCATTGTTCATCACATCACAAGCTGTAGAATGTTTGTTAAGGGTCACAGGATGGGTTAAACTTATTTGTTTGGTCTGGTTCTTCATATTCCTTCTACTTTGAGATGTAAACTACACCCCTCTTCGGGTTTATTTAAAAATATTAAGAAAGATAGTGAATTGCAGAAAAAGCCTAAAGCTTTTGTGGTCGACAATAATATCTTTTCAAGGTACAAAAAGGAGACATATTTTGAAATCTCACGATGATAAACAGAAAATATGTAAGTAACTAAAAACTCACCTAGAAAAGGCAGATGCATCAGAATGATTTAGCCTCCGGGTTTCATCATTTACTTGATTCACAGAACTACTGGGATGAGATCTCCTCAAAGATAAGTCCAACTGGGGTAATATATCAAACTTATTAGTGCTGGCATTTGAGGCAGGGCTTTCAATCGTGCCCCCTTTTAACTGGCTCTCAAAATTTCCAATCAAATCAATAACTTTTCTAGAAGAAGATTTGTTGCAAACACGATGATCATTGGAGGTTTTATCATTGGCATCAGCATCTATAGCAGCAGCCACAGCTGCAGATCCTAATTCACAATGAGGTAAATGCAGTGTAGTAAGTATGTATGTACCCATACATGGCACTGGCAGGAATAATGAGAATCAAGAAGGCAACGACGAGAAATCATTACCTCCGCCCTCATGTGCTTGGATTTTTTCTTGTTTCGCATGAATTTTGTAACCATTGGATGGACATCTTGATGCCTTTGGCTGTGAGGGGCAATGAAAGTGCTCTGCATCTGCTCCTTCATTCTCCAATTCTGGTTTAGTGCACGAGCTCTGCAGATGAACACAAAGTATTGTGCCAGTCTTGAATCAGAAGATAATCAGCTTTGTTCTAGAGAGAAGTGAAAAAAAACTTTGGAGAGAGTATAAGATACCTGTGCATCACTTCCTTTCTCAATGCACTCACGATTTCTTCGAATGCAGGCCATGTAACCACTTGAATGGTTGCTAACGTCATTGTTTTCAGCCGTGGCTTCAATCTTCTGCTGACCGACACTCTCATCTGGAGGTCCAAGGACAGCGGCACTCCTTGACTGCATCATGATTGGAAGCAAGACAATGTGATATGTTGAAGAAGAATTTAAAAGATCAAATGATTGAACAGAGAGTGGGATTCCCGGGCTTACAACTTGTTTCCTCCAGACGTGTTGCCATAAGTTCCTCAGCTCATTTTTCCTTATAGGCTTGACAAGATAGTCGGATGCACCTCTCAACATGCATTTGTAAACTGTAGCAACTGAATCGTGTGCTGACATCACTGGAACGACGCATTTAAACATACCATTAGTATTCCAACAAATCCGAGAGTTAATGTAAAGAAAAGAAAGGCGAGAAAACTGCCAGTACACACTTATGACCGGAATATTTTTGCAGACATCATGCTCCATAATCAAAGTGAGCAGCGCATATCCAGAGATCGAGGGCAGTTCAACTTCCGTCAAAATAAGGTCTATATTGCGTGATCTTCCTTTCAATACTTCCCATGCTTTCAAGCCATCGGGAACGGCAGCAACTGCTTCCAAGAAAATATAATAAAGTTTATTTATCGATGACCATCGACAGAGTTCACCAGCACCAAGTACATACATTATCTCAATCAACAAAACATAGCAGAAAACCTTCTAAATGTAAATTAACAAACTCTGCTTCAGATTGTCATTAGTTGGATGATCCTAAGGTATACTTGTTGATCTATCAATTATCAGAATAGCATAAGAATTTTTTGATGATGTTTCGAATATTTTTTCAGTTTAGAACATCTACACAATCATCAGATCTACACAAGAAGACAATACAAATGGAACATAGCCTCCATACGGGATTATAGAGCTCTCTGATCAGAGTTGAAGATGGGGGCTGTGCATACTGCTAACTGTGCACAGAAAAATTAGGTCTGAAAATATGATGTTAGATAGCAAGATTTCTGTGGAATGCAAAATCTTGAAGGTGCAGGGAAGGGCTCGAAACAGAACAAGCTTGCTAGCAACAGAATCGAGTAACATTGCAGAAGCTAAATTAAAATAGTGAAGGGCACAAACACAACCTTTTGATTTCCAGGTAAACCATATCCTCCTCCTCCACAAGTTTAATCAGTAGAGTTAATCGAAATGCAATTGAAGGAAGATTGGGGGATCTTAAGCCCAATAGGCGACAACAAATGAAACAGTGATCATCGGTACATCAAAAGATAGAGAGATAAGGATGATCAATGAAGAATTAATACGAAGAGACAAAAAGAAAGGAAGCAATTATCAATCCCCACCATCATCGGAAAATCAACGAACCTTTATAGCTGCATTTCCGGAGAAGAGCAGCAATTATGTGCCTGGTGGAGTCGTCTGCTTCCACCAAGAGCACTCTCACCGATAGCTTAGGCAGAAACCTCTCCCACCGAACTACCGAAGAGGAAGCAGAGGCATCGGGCGTGGGCGTGGGCGTGGAGTTCCTTTCCTGTGGTTGGTCCAATTGGGCCCTGACTTCGACAAGCTCTCCCATTGCTGATGAAGGAGGGCGGCGCAGTTGGAATAGGGAGGGCACATCAGTTTTCCTTCCAGGCAGTAGTTAGTTCTCAGTAGTACTCGCTAACCCGAAAGAAAATATCTTCGAGGATAATTAGTGGAGGGAGGAGAGAGGGAGGCCTTTCACACACACACACTCTCTCTCTCTCTCTCTCTACTCGGCGCACTTTAACCGCCGCCTGCCTTCCTCAGGTCAGCCATTGACGGACCTTGTCTGCCTCTCTGTCTGATGGATACCTCTAAATTGCTCTCGCCACACATACTGAATATATTACTTAATTATTAAATAAATAATCCTAGGATAAAAGTTGGTGATTTTACCAAATTACCCCCCTTACAGGTGTGTTCGGTTGTAAGACTTTTACAAAATCTTACTATTAATCCCATTTTTTCCCCCCAAAAATATCAAATCAAACACCTATTTTTCATTTTTTATATTATACTAAAAATAAATTTTACGTTCAAAACATCACATCAACACCTATTTACATCACATCATACAACTATTCAAATTCAAAATTTTTACTATTCAAATCCCAACTCAAAATCCAATCCCCCAAACAAACACACCCACTGTCTTGGTGATTGTCCCTGTCGAGAATAGAAATCACCCTCAAAAGGTTGGGCACTTCATTTGGGTAATGCAATCGAAAAGAAAAGAAAAAGAAAAGATATTTTGGGAAGATATTTTGGCATAGGACTTTTGACAAGTGGATTTTTCATTTTGGTTGGTTTGATGCCTTTACTTATTTGCATTTTTTGTGGTCTCCAATCTCCCCCTCCCCTCCTCTCTCTCTCTCTCTCTCTCTCTCTCTTCTTTTTTTATTTTTTATTTTTTTTTTATTTTTTATTTTTTTTATTTTCTATTATTTTATTATTTTTTATTTTTTATTTTTTATTTTTTTAAAGATATACTTACTATGTTCGGCCACAAATGATCCATTTTTTTTTTATCCACCATATAAAAGATATCCCTTTCAATTTTTAGAAAATTTATTAGTGTTAAACGTACTTAATAAATATAAATTAATTTAATTATATTTTAAATTCTCACACGCAGGACCCACTCAAAATCTTTTTATTTTTATCTTCAATAAATAAATATTTTTTTATATATTTAAAATTTTTATTTTTTATAAAATTAATTTTAATTTAATTATAAATGAATAAATATATTTTTTATTTATTTGTATTATATAAAATTTTATTATCATGATATTCATATTACATATATTTTCTCAATATATAATCCTAAGAAATTTTAAAATACCAACAATATTACTCATATAAGATATAATAAACTTGTATTATAGCATGTTATTAATAACTTACTACTTATCTCCTCACGAGGGAGTATAACATTTCCTTGTGTTTTTTTTTGTAAAAATGCACAAAATATTTTTTTTTTATTTATTATATAAAATCTATGTATTAATATAAAGTTAGCATGAAACATCCTATTGTTCAAAATTGATGTTTGATTTTAAATTAAATAAATAAGTGATCACTAATTTATTTTTATAGTTTTTAACAAAATCAATAACAATATGTCATCAAAAACTATAAAATGAAGTATTGATCAATTATTTTTTTATTTATTTTATTAAAAAATTATTTAAAATATTTTTTATTTATATAAAATTGGCATAAATATAATTTATGTATTTATTTAAAAGTAAATATTAGTTTGGGATAAAAAAATTATTTGGTACAAACTTTACCTCAACAATAGGTGTTATATAATTTATTTTTTTTAATTTTATTTGTGTTTTTTTTTTTCTCTCTCTCTATCCTACCATTGAGACCGAGATAGATAGGTGGATGCTATTAGGCGATTTTAATTTTATTTTTGTTGATAAATTAATTAATTATATCGAAATAATTACTTTTAAAAAGTTGTGTGGTGCTCTGTATTGGCTTGGCTGGCTCTCGTCTCGACTCGTCGTCTGTACGGAAACACACACGGGGATTAATTTGTTTTATATTACTTTATTTTATTTTTATTAATTTATTTGAAGAATGAATGAATGAATGGGCACCACAAATCTCTTGCTGGGCTCTCTTGATATTTTCAAAAATATCTCTCACCTTCGCTTTTTCATTTAATTTAACTAGGGAAGGCCCGCACGGTGTAATCTACTAAAAAAATTACAATATTAAAAATATAATAAAAAATTTTAATTTTAAATCAAAACATAAAGGTACACGATCGTGCATAGAATTAAATATAACTGTGTAAAAACATAGTTCTGTATAATTATACATTAAATTATACACGGCCGTGAAGTTTTTAGGTCAGCTGTCACGTCAATCGCGTTATGTCCACGTCATCAATTTTTATTAATTTTTTAATAGTGAGACCAAAATTGATTGAAATTGTTTATAATGATACTAAAATTAATGAGCTTTTTTTTAAAATATATCTGGATCAAAATTAATAAATTTTGGTTATATTGAGAATAAAATTGATTTTTTCGCAAATAAAATTTTATATAAAAAAATAAAGGTTGTGTTTTTTTTTTTTTTGGATTTTAACATAGAATTTTACTATTGAGATTTTTTTAAAAACAAAAACATAAAATCAGAATTTTTTTTATATTATACCATAAATTTATTTTACATTTAAAATATCACATTAACACATATTTATATCACGTTAAATAACTATTCAAATTCAACTTTTTACTATTCATAAATCTAAACACAAAATCCCAAACCCGTAAACAAACACACCCAAAGGGTTTTAAGTATAGATAAAAAATTAATATTACTATATATTTTTAAAAAATTAGAATATATATCTAAATATTTTAAACACTATTTTATCAATAAAATATATATAAAATGTGTATACTCCCTCCGTCCCATATATTATGGGCGCATAGATACATAAATTTAGGTAAAATATAATTAGTAAGTAATTTAAAAATATATTAGTAAAATAATAATAGATTAAGATTAAGATAAGTAAATAGTTTAATTATGATTAAAAAGTTTTAAAATTTAAAATTTAAAATATGATTAAATAATATAATTATATTTTTTTAAAAAAAACAAACAAATTATGTGGGACAGACGAAAATAAAAAATAGATACAAATTATGTGATACAGATAAAATATTATTTTGTAAAGAATAAAAATTTATATAATACAATTAAAAAAATAAAAATATTTTTTTATAATTAACATAAATTAGAAGGAATCTTATATGTAATATATATTCAAATTTTAATTAAATAGATTGAAGAGATAAAATAATAATAATAATAATAATTATAATAATAATAAGTAAATAATGAATGCAATGTATATGTAGGCATTTGTTTACTCTTTGATTTTGGTATGAACTAACAACAATATTAGTTTTTAGACTCTTCAATATCCATGTAATTATTTTTAAATAATAGTTATTATGATACATAATATATATATCTATATATGACATTTTAAAAATAAAATCTATTAATTTATCAGACACAATAATTGATTATTAACAAAAATTATTAGGTTACATGTAATTGGTAATGTCCAATTAATCTGTATACAAATTATATATTTTGTGTATATAAACATAATGAATTTTTTTTTTTTTTGTATATATAATATTATGAAAAGTATTTCTTTAAAGTTATACTTTATTTGTAATTTATTAAATTAATTATTCTATAATTATCATAATTAAGTTTATTATATAAAAAAGTATATGCATACCAAAATTAATTTAAAAATATATCAAACATCTTTATACACAATTATTATTATTTTTTGCATATCTTCTTTTACAAACATTAAAACACACAAATGCAGCGAGCAAATGATATAAAAGTTTTGACTTAGTACATAAAAATACAAGAGCAGTTAAATCAACCAAGTATCATCTAACATTAATCTGAATGGGAGAAAATACAGTCACAACTATTATATCTGACATTGCAGTGTCAAACATCCTGCACCGAGGAGACAAAAAAACTAACTATTTAATAACTACAAATCTTCAATACTATAATAACGAAACAATATATGTATATACATCAGAATTCTACAATACTATTAGATTAAGGGAAAACAAATCATATTACAAAAAATATACTCCCAACTCCATCCGTGAAACAACAAACAACCAAATTAAAGGTCAATCTACACAACAAATAGATGTTTCATCCCACGATAACTTCAACAATTCTCAAATCAACACAGCTACGCCATTCCCCAATCAGTCAATAGCCAAGTCGTCTTCATCTCCAGGATCTTTCCCGGGTACAGGCACTGCAGCGAGATGAAGAGAAGATTATATATATAAGAAATTTGCAGCAGGGTAAAGGACAGATTATAATCCTTCAGCAGCCGCTGTCCCTCCAGCAGCTCCAACCTCTTCGTCTTCGTCTTCGTCTTCTTTTCTTTCTCTCATTCTTCTCCTTCTTCCTACATCTTTCTATTATTTCCCTTCATCATCTTTACCCCCACCTCATTGCAGACAGTTCTTCGTTTACCATTTCTTCACTGGTAGGTCCCAATATCTCTGGCCATTGAAAAAAACAGATAAATTTCATCAACATCAATACATAGAGTGTAGGAGAAGGAAAATTTTGCCCTATCCTACAACCGCAGATGCAGCCACGGTTGCAAGTCACACCCCTTATTTCCCAAACGTATAGTATATATAGAGAAAGATATAGATTAGTACGTGACAATACAGAGAAAGGAGTTAGAATAGTGCCTCTTCGATTACCGCAATCCGCATACTGCAACTATTAATTACGACCCTTCAAATATTGTTTAAATTTTAATGATGACTTTTACATATGTAAGACTCCTTTTTCTAGACGTATCACATCGGTAGATTTGAACAGCCTCTTTGCATATTTATAAACGGTTGTCCAAAGAGAAGAGAAAAATAAGGAGAAAAAACTAAAATAATCCACATAAATAAAACTATATTTTGATAAATAACAAAATTAATTTCACAAATATTTAAAAACTGAATTTATAAAATTATTCTACCAAATAATCATTAAAAACTCGTATTTCTATCTAAATTGCATAAAATATTCATATAATGAATTTTAATAAAGACATTATCTATTAACACTTAATACGAATAAAATAATTATATAAATAATATAAAATGACTACAACTAATAAAAAAATTTATTTAAAATAATTATAATCAATACGATTGTACAATCAATAAAGTAAGCTCTACGTATACAACACACCAATCATATGTTAGGAGCAATGAAAATT